GTGAGACCACCTTTGGAAACCTGGAAGCACTGGACGGCCGTTTCATCCTATTGTGGGAATCTTCAGCAGAGCGCATCCACGATCCTGCTCGCGGGCTTCGAACCCATGGCCTTCGGCTTCGCGCGCGAACGCCTAACCTATTGGACCACTGAACCGGCATCCAATTATTATTATTGTTATTATTATTATTAAAACATATAAACATTGGTACAATGAGGCACCAAATAAATATGCACCATATAAATCGTTCGATTTGTATGAGGACTGGGATACTGCCCGAGTGCCCAAACTGAATCAGGTTGTTTTCTTAGGGGGTCAATCCCCAAACCTTTGACGTACAGGTATAATTCACAAGATAGTGTACCAACGTCAGGAGATTCAGTCTCACTGTAGTCAGTCACCAACGATTGGTTCATATGCCATTTGTTGCTTTAGGATCCTGTATCACATGTGCATCATTGGTTTGGAATCAGGGTTTCCCAACTTCTCTAGATGAATCATCCATATCCACCAACTTGGTTAAATCGCCGGACATTCGCTTTTTGTCCTCTCAATTTTGTAAACGACACCCTCAACCCAAGAAGGTAGTGAATAAGACTTCCTTGTCAGTGATTGTATGTAGGTGGCCATGTGAGAGCATTTAGAGATGGAGAGTGGACTCTTCCCACTGTCGGTCGTACCAAAACATTTGGAGGGGGAGGGGAGAATGAAATTTTAAACCAATCCAACTAGGTTGTTGAAATAATGTTCTATAGATTATAAAGTAGACTAAGGTATTTCAGCATAGATATGATAAGGAGAGACTTTATTATGTTGGAAATTAAATTCTAAAAAAAATGTACTCAATATGAAATCAATATTTGGGTAATGTATTATTGCCTGTCATTTCATATTGTTTACTGTACAAACATATATTGATTTATTTTTATAACTGTGACCAGTTAACTACAAAATGAACACTTAAGTAATGTGAATGATTGATTATGTAATGATCATATGGATCTTCCTATTAATGTTTAAGACTACAATTGATCAGTCTCTTATTGGTATATGTATATATAAATCTCAAAGTGAACATCAACTGTGAAATACAGATACATTCAGCTGACGAGTCTCAAATAGGACGAAATGTCACACTTCCTGGATCCCACTACTAGCCACTAGCCACTTTTGCTTAGAATGCTTTACTTTGTACTCTTAATGTTCCGCAGTAGTAGTAGCAATAATAATAATAATAACGATATGAAGAACCTTACATTAAGTGAACACGAAAATGGAATAAATAATATTCATAAAACATGTATTACCTATGTCTCTCTCTGTGTTTGTGTGTGTGCATGTATGCGTTTATCTCTGTGTGGTAATTTAGTTTAATGAGAAATAGGTGCATTTTGTGATATATTGTTGTTGTTGTTGTTTCTTCACCGATTAGAATGAGATTCTGTTTCTATCTGTCTTTATTGTTCTCCTTCTCTCTCTCTCTCTCTTTCTCTCGCACAGACGCAGGGACACACACACACACACACTTTCTCGCTCCGTTTTTGTCTTTTGTTTCAAAATTTAACAAACCGATTAGAACTGACACTTAAACAACTTTTGTCTCTTCATTTTTTTTTCTTGCTGTTATTCTCTTTTTTCTCCTCCTCCTCCTCCTCCTCCTCCTCCACCCCTTGTTCTTGTTCTTGTTCTTCTTCGTTCTCGCTTGCCTTCAGTCTGTATTATTCTCCTTTTTTGTTATGTATATTTTCCAATGCTATTTCGACATTGGAATGATGTGAAGTAAAGGGTTTACTAAAAATACTATATAATACAAGTTAATTATTCTGTACATTACATGATAACCAAGTATATATGTATAAATAGTTTTTTTCTCTTACATATATATATACTACTCATAATCCTTAGCTTATGTTTCTATGGTTAATGGGGTAATATGTAATGATGTATATAAGAGAAAAACAAAAAAACAGAGTGAATACAAAGTTATAGATGATTTTGACATCGGCATCTAAAACAACAGTGGTGGCAAGTAATAAACGATTTAATGATGATGATGATGATTACTATTATTATTATTATCATCATCATCATCTCTGCATCAATTCCTTTCAACCTTTGTTCACAACAATCATCACAAGTAAAATTTAAACACGTACACCCATCCACCCACCCACCCACACACACACACACACGTACACGCACATATACACAGCAGGGTAACTTAGTAATACATTTCAATTTAGTCTTGTCATTTCACCACCTATTTACACAATATCATTCAGTTGTTCAATTCTTTCAGTCTATTTTTTTTCTTTCGTGTTGTTGCTTCTTTTTCTTCTTCTTTTTTTTCTTCTTGTTCTTACAACTTCACTTCTTTTGTTACTAAACATTGTCTTGTTTCTTTTCTTCATAGTTAGTTAACTGTTGTATGTATATCAGGATAATAATTATGATTTGGTGTTGTTGTTGTTGTTAACAGTAGTATAATGAAAATATACTTAATTTTCTTTTCTTTTTTGTTTTTTGTTTTAACAAATTTACTTGTTGTTACATTCTCATCTACCTTTTCCTATCTTCTATAATCCATTTCAAACTATTAAAATATCATCGTTGATTAACACATTGAAAAGTTAAATAATAATAATAATAATAATAATAGTAATCCTTGTTCTTCAAGTTACCCTTTTCTTTTAGTTACTATGTCTATTACACTTGGTGCGTGCGTGTGTGTGCTTGTGTGTGCGTGTACATAGATGTGTGTACGCACACTTGTGTGTATGTTCTTTGTCTACTTTTCGGTTTTACTTTACTCTTCATAGTAATGATATGCTTTGTGTTGAGAGACTGAGAGTGTGTGGTGTGTGTGTGTGTGAGAGAGAGAGAGAGGGTGTGTGTGTGTGTGTATGTGTACATTGGTGAATAGTTTAAGTTTTTTTACTAACAACAAACGCCAAACATGATGTTGTAAAATATTATAGATTACAACTTATCAATGTTAGAAAATATACAACAACAATGGAAAGAATTATTTTATGCAAATATTGATATCATTAATAACAATGGTGTTAATGCCACCAAGAGATTACAACATAAATTGTCAAAATAATAATAATAATAATCATCATAATAATGATTGAAACAAAATAACAGATTATCATCATTACAACGGTGTAGTTTGTATTTCTCCCAGTACTTTCAATGAATACATATTTGTACATGGATGTATGTATGTGTGTGTGTGTGAGTGTGTGTGTGTGAGGGTGTCTGTAAACATGTAATATTCATATGTTATATGTACAATGATAGACTATTATCTGTTTCTAGGGGTTACATTTCATTGAAGTTAAACTGAAGATGAAACATGAAAAGAGGAAACAAAAGACTTTAATTACTGTTACTATTCATAATAATCTATGGGCAATTTCATACAAACTGTACATGTAAATGAAACTATGAAAAAAAAAAAAACAACTAACATATAAACCTTTGAAACATTAAGATGAAGAAAAAGAGCTATTGAATGAATGGAATCCCTAATAATCAGTAGTGTAAAGTTCTTTTTCTTTGTTCTTGTTATTGTTGGTAGTGGTGGTGGTGGTGGTGGGTGGGTGGGTGGGTGGTTAAAATGTCCTAGAAGATACCCTCTTCTTTATGTTTACAATCGATAAGCCCTTAGATATAACATGCTAATCGATGAGCACATAGATAGTAATAAGCAAATACATTCTGAGTACAAAATTGTAGAGTGATTTAATAAAATATGAATACTATACGTTTTATACTTCATTTGGAATAATGTTCATCAATTGTCTGAGACTCGATTGTTCCTCCATTTCCACAGTAATCATTCTCTATTCCTATTCTCTTGTATTCGATCTTCTTAACCATCTGCTGATAGGCATTTCATTTCTGATTGGTGTTGTATACTACTTATATCAGTCGATATAAGTAGCATTCAGTCGTATCTGTTAAACCACTATCTGAAACGCTAAATAGTATAAACACTTATGAGGTTTCCTTTCAGAAAAAAAATTTAATATACTAACTTGAGTACCACGAAAAAGAAAGTAAGAATGATTATTGTTATTTCATTAAAGACGTTTATAAAATGTTCATTATTTGACATAAACATGTACTGTCAGTGACTACGTTAAGCCCATATACCTTATCCCAGCTACTGGCTATACTAATTAATCTATTCTTTTTGAGTCACATTTTCACCTTGTTAATTATTTGATTGCCAATCTTGACTGTTTTTAAGTGAGCGTAAGTTGTTTGCCCTTCTTATCCCATTCATCACATATCTACAACTTATTACTTGCTTACTTACTTACACCTGTTACTCCCAGTGAAGAATAGACCACCGACCAGCATTCTCCAACTCACTCATACTTTACTGAGCCTTCCCTCGTAGTTCTATCAACTTATTGTTCATTCTTCTCATATCTGTTTCCATTTCCCGGCGTAATTTGTTCTTCGAGATAGTAGAGAAGATTTGTAGCTCAGATGGTTGGTTTTGATGGAGTTTTATTCTCTGAGCTGGATGGTTTGATCGTGAAGCTTTTATAGTTGAGAAAAACTTCGTCAAAGTAATGGTTTTCCTCTTCTCTTTTACTCTTGAGAATTCCAAGTAATGGTTTGCTTTGTGACACAGTTGGGTGCTTTCCTCAATGTGTCTCCTATCCACTTCCAACGCTTCTTCCTGATTCCTTCCTCCATTAGAATCTGGTTTATTCTCTTTCACAGTAGGTTGTTACTGATAGTGTCTGGCCAACGGATTCGAGGATAAATGACATATATATATTTAATAACATTCATGTGATCTTAATGGAGTCAGATTAAGACCCCATAAAATAAACACACCATTTTTTTCATCATATGAATTTAAACTACTTATTTAACGATTATTTAGTAGTATTATGTCAACTTTAACAAACTAAACCCAATAAAAACTGCTTCAACATTATTAAACATATTTATATATTCTTTTTCAATTATAGATAATACACTATCATCTATACCACAATTAAGTCCATCATTGAGTCCAATGAATGAATATGATAGAGAGTTATTATCTTCTAATAAAAATAATAATATCATTCAAAATATACCAATGATCTATTCAGAACAATCTATCATGAAGAAAAATGAACAAATTAAAGAAGACGAAGAAGAAAAAGAAAAAGAAAAACAACAACAAAAGATTAAAAAAGAAAATGATTCAATACAAACGAAACAAGTACTCAGTAATAAAACGGATCATGTGCTCATAACAGAAAATAAAGAAGAAAAAGAAAGCGAAAAAGAAAATAAAGAAAAAGAAAAACAAGAAGAAGAAGAAATCGATATAGAAGAAGAATCAATCAAAACTTGCAAAATTGAATTGGACACTGATAATGATGATAATCATATGTGCCTTAGTAATACATCAAATTCATGATCTCATCAATTGATTCATCAACACAGTCCCTGAAATCTTACAAACTATATTGAATAACCTTCTTTTTTCCTTCTTCTTCTTCTGAATACAAGATGATACTACTTATTATTATTAAAAATGAAAATTGATTTTTTTGTTTGTCTCTTCTAAACATAAACTTACGTTGAGATGCTCATTTATGAACGAACCAATCAGATTGAAGAGAATAGGTCTTCAAATTTTCGGCGCGAAATTCATTGGTTCATTTGGATAAAATAGAGTTTTGATATGATAGTTGATATATTATAGTTCATGATCAAAAACTTTGCTTATTAACTGTAAATCATAATCTTTATCCTTTATAACAAATTTATAATCCTCATTTGATTCTAGTGTGTTCAGGTGAGGTGAACATTCTCAAGGTCAGTCTAATGTCATTTAAAGAGCATTTATAAATTATAATCTCATTTAAATTTCTTCAAAATGATTATGTAATCATTTGATTAGAATGTATCATTGTTTCTATAGTAACATTCTATTCCATCCTTTCTCTCTCTATATATATGATGGATTGAATTGTTGTAAATCATAATTTCAAGATAAGTTGATCTGTTTTTCTTTTTTTTTGTAATAAAAAGCGTCCTTTTTTGTGTAAACTAGACAATCAAAGCATCAATTGATTCACTAATTCAATTATGTTTTTCAATGTTGTACATAGTTTTGTAAAGTTCAAGCTATATACGTATAATGAATAGGAAACTATTGTTGTAAACTGACATACTACTGGTCAATTATTGACTTATACAATTTAACTACTTATTAAATTTATAGTAATATAAATATATAAACAGAATTTTGTTTCATCATTGAATTGGTTAAGATATTCTATCTTATTATTATAATTCGTTTCTTTTCTTGCATTTACATTTTATATTTCTGTTTATGTATCTATATCTATATGCTTCTACATTTTTAACCCAATGAAACGTATATAAATGTATATACATACATATATATATTGTGGTGTTTGAATGGACTCATGATTCCTTTGTACTTGTGGAATGCTTGATTTTGAATTATAAATACAGTACATTGGTTTGTGTTTATCTGGTACTTCTTGATCCGATTACGTTATTTCTGGGATTCTTAGTTCATACTATAATTCAAGTACTCCTAATCATCATAATATATATATCCATCCATAATATTATATTTGTTTATAAGACTGTTCTGTATGATTAGGATTATGATTGACACTTTGAAAGAGTTGAATCGTTATGGAGCTTTAGTGAATGAGAACACACAAGTGGGGATAATCGAATGTATTTGAATATAAAATTATAGAATTACTTAGTAAAATCTGAAAAGCATACAGTAAATACTTTATTTGCAAAATGTCTATTAATTGTCTCAGATTTTGTTGTTTCTTCATTTCCATACCAATTGCTTTCTGTTCTTGTTCTTTCTTTCTCGATCTTCTGCTGCCAGACAGACTATTCCTGATTAAGGTGTAGTATGGAGTCGAGTCGAGATTGACTACGAACACCACTACAAGAAGACTACGTGCCAGTTAACCGATAAAATCCCCAGTAAGCCAAATATCAGAAGGCAGTTGATGACTGTAGTCGAAATGTATTTGTTGGCGATATCGTGGTATCGAAAGAACACCAAAATCGTGCCAAGGGAGTACAAGTATGACTACTGAGTGCGACCGAATCCGTGCAAGGACAAAATCTTGCCAAAAGTACGATAACCAGAAGATACGATTTAAACCATTTAAAATCCGCTCTGAGAGTTGAAAGGTCTTCATTCAGAACAATTATGACGCCTTATGATGAAAGTTAAGATTCTTCGAGAGTTACAAGGCTGATGTTCATTCTAGGAATCAGTGCAACAATTAACATAGGTAAGTGGAATGTCCGGATAATTTGAGAGACCGGGAGAACCGAACAAACAAGTGTGGAAATAAGGAGATACAACTTGCGGTGTTCTTAATAAATAAAACACATTGGGTCCAAGCTGAATAGGAAAAGGTAAATTCGAGAAAGACACCAACGTACTCTGTTGATGATGAAAAAGCTGCTACACACGCACAAAGAGTTCCATTGATGTCATCTAAAGGAGCACAAAAAGCACCTGTAGGATGGGAATTTGATGGATTCAGGACCATCAAAGAATTCTTTAAAACAAAGAAGAAGGGGATTACAATGAATATCATTCAAAGTTACCACCCACCGAAGATGATAATGATCAGTTTTATGAGGTGGTAAAGTCGGTCGTACATGGGGAAGGGCCTGACGATCCTGATGGAAGGTTTAAAAGTCAAAGTCAAAGTGGACAACAACGGTTATAAAGATATTACTGGACGACATGTACTGCGTCCGATTATAGAAAAAAAACAGAAGATATGACAGAATGAATTCGGTCAGCATTCCACGTATCACATTAAGTAAACTTCGACTAAAACGTCCTACCCAAGCACGACGTTGAAACCCATTTAGTGAAACGTTCCAAGCGGAAACTTTAATTTTATTTTAGAGTAGGCCATAAATATAGACATGAGTTTAATCAACATCACATCATAACATTAACATTACACTTTACGGGGAGATTCATGGCAAATCACTAAAAAAAGACCTTACATGTAAGGACGATAAAGGCAAATCCCACCTCGAACGACCTTTCATCCAACGTGACCACGACTCCCTCAGTGGATAGATTTAAGGGTGGATTCAACAACACGTGTTTTATGGACTGGAACTGTTGTGTTGGCGTGATTTGCACTCGCCAAAATGTCAGTTTCCAGATACAACAAAATATTATTTGTCATTCAAAGAACCTATCTTGGGCCTAATGTTCGATAGGTTATTCTTCCTTTGAGTTTTATTTGAATTAATGTTGAACCAAGGTTTTGCCTCAGATTACCATGCAGTGTTCGCAGCTTTTCACAATGAAACCCTATTTCTAGTACTTCTTGAGCGTGAAAGACACCAGTTTTTGTCCATATTGGTTACTTTTCTTCCCACTTGTAAACTTTCTATCCTATTTCTATATACAATTTTACTAGCAGGTTTTACTTAACCGTGATCACCAAAAACACATGTAAGCGGCCAAGCTCCCGACTTTCTATTAACTACAGTATGCAATGTGGGAAAGTCAAAGTGTGCATAATGAAAAAAGCATATATCTCACTACAACTACTTGAAACAGATTCAGTAATTCAGATTGAAACTGGTCGGGTGGAAAATGTGATACAAATATTGACGAGATTTCGAGTAATATCATTAATTCTCCGGCAAGAATACGCAAAAGCTGTCAATCACCTTGAGGGAAACAGTCTCAAAATGGATAACTAACCGGAAATGCACCAGGAGGTAAAACGAGGACCACCTTTACATAAGTATTGGTGGACCAGGGGTTAGCATCAATAAGTGTATGTTGAAATCAGCACTGCCATAAAATCAAGAATCGCATATTCTCTCTGCGAAATGGTGTCTCTAAGCCCCTCTTAACGTAAATGTGGTCTCCAAAGTTGGCCATGGTAGGGGACTGGGCTCCCGTGAACGGAGCTAAAAGAACAAAAGATCGTTATCCGAAGTGTTCAACGGTTCATTTCTCTTAAAAACTTAGTTAATACACTGGAAGTGGAATCTGCTCTCAAGGTTGACAAACCGGCTAATAAAAGTTTAGGATATCTTGTAGTGTCAGTTATTATGCCAAGCCCATATACCTTATTCTAGCTTCCGGACATCCCATTTTATTCATTCTACTCGAGCCATATTTTGACCTTGTCAATTATTTGCTTATCAGTCTTGACTGTTTTTATATGAGCGTATATGTGTGTGTCCTTCTTACTCCATTAATCACATGTCTGTAGCTTAATTTTGTCTGACTATAAATATTGAGTAACGCTTGACTAAAATGGAGTTGGCTTCCCAGCCATCTTCCCTGCGTGTCATTTTGCTTTGCTATGTTTCAGTCGTTTCATGTACGAAATATATGTATTCTCAAGTCAATTCTCGTTATTCGACTTATCTAATTCCGTTATTGGATAACGCGATTCAAGTCGACGATGATATACGAGAATAGGCGATAACAATCATTTATACGATTTAAATAGGAGTCAGATCAACGGGCTACTAAAATCTGAACTAAAACCCAACTTTCCGAATAAAATACACCTCAACACTGGCGTACCTAAAAACTTGAGCAACTGATCAAGGTTCGTAACGATTCCATGGCAGTCATGAGTCTAAAATACTTCTCCGACTCCTCAATCATTCTGCAGTACAATAACGACAGGGAGCTTTAATATGTATGAGATAAAATGCTTAAACTTCTCAAAACTGAAATATAAACGGTCATGCCAGCTACTCGAGAGAAGCGCATCAAGATTGTATAACGTCCACTAATGCTAGTGACACAGAGGATATTTTTCTGACCAGTCATTTATTGGAATCTGAGAGTAATCTGCGGATGTAGTCAGATAAACCATATTTAGAGCTCATTTCAGTCAAGAGTATCCTAAAGAAGTCAAGCAAAAGAAACATCATGGTGCTAGTTATGCCAGAATACACGGACTTAGAGTATGAAGTCTATAATATCCAAAGGTGGAGGTTTAATAAGACAGCTTCTGAAGCTTAAAGATATATTTTCTCAATAAGTAGTAAAACTGTCCAAGAAGAACAAGGGTACTAGAATCAGATTAATAAAGATAATCTTCACCCCTTCCAGAAAGGTCTGAAAATTCAGTTTGAATTCAATGTGATAATTACTCAGTATGGCATTTGTTTTCTTTCCAAAGCACGACATCTTATTCTGTATAACATACGATATTATTGTCTTAAATTAACATGAACTATACTCAGCATATGATTTGTTACAACTAAGCATTTTTCATATATGTGATTTATTCTAATTATTAGTCAAACATGGGTGTATGAATCAATATACAAATGAGTGTATTTCCGATTAGACTCGTCGTGGTTGTTCGTACTTCTGGGTGCCTGTGGAATATATTTCCCTCTTCCGAACTTGGATTTATCTCTCTAGTTAGCGGAGGTGGGACGCGTCTGAGTAACTAGCTTATCTGTTGTTGTGTCACAGGGTCTTCGTCGCGTTATCAGACTAGGTGAACTCTTAATCTCTTTAAACACAGTAATGATGTACTAGAACACATATGAATCCCGACGGGCTACACCATGTCGACTGTCAGGGGTAAAACTGCATGGAAAGGTTTTGGGTCAACCATTCCGAAAACCCTGTCTAGGTAGGTTCCTGATCCACTCATAAATGGTCACTGGGAAAACAGATCAAGGACACGCACGCGTCTTAGATCAAAAGCATCAAATGTTTATATATTGGCTCTTCCAATTTATGGAACAAAGTGGATGAATTTTATGGACTATGTGGTGTAAATAATACTCTTTTGATAATAATATCCTGAAAATGGTAACCTCAAATCACGGACAAAGCACTAATAGTAGTTGGAAGGTCTTCGTTTCACAATAGCAAAGGGAAAGTGGAATGGGACGTAGTGTTGTGTAGTACATACTTTACTGCATTGTGGCACATTTAAACAGTAAAACCATAACGTACGACCCACAATGACAATGGCGTCACTTGTAGCTCAGTAGGTATCTCAGTGATGAACATAAGCACGCGACCAGTGTTTCAGAAACTTCAGCGACTAAACAAGGATACATCTTTTGGCCCGGACATAGTTCCCTCGCTCATGCTAAAAGATACGTCTTCAAACTTAGCAACACTTTTTAGAGCAATGCTTTCACATTCGCCGAGCTAGGGAGTGATTTCGGAACATTAGGAGCCAACAATCATTGAAATAACTGTAAAAGGAGCCAACACTATGAACCTTCAAACTAACATCAGATAGTGTTCCTTACAATACTCTCATGGGTTATGGAATCCCTGTTACGTGATGACAGATGTTACTACCAATTATCTGCATGTTTCTCGTCACCCAGCAAGGATTCAGGAAGTGTCATCCCTGCATTGCCGGTCTTATAGCTAAGGTAGACAGATGGGACACCATTTTCGACTGCAAGGGGAAGATGGATATGTTATACATCAATTTCTCAGAAGTTTTTGATATGTTCTATCATAGATGTCTTAAAGATAAGCTCAAGCTGATAGGAATCAAATAACCACTGATAAACTGACCTTAATTAAACTTAGATAGTTAACAGTTTAAGGTTCGTATAAACTGCACATTGTTTCAGTCTACGGAATATCTCGCCGGAGTCCCCCAGAGTTCAGTGCTAGGACCTTTTCTATTATTTGCCTAAACAAATAGTTTTTTCTTAGCAAGTATTCGCCAGGCTATTACTTCTGATCGATGAAGTCAAACCTCGGAAGGAAGTTTGCAACCGGGACATTGAGTTAGGACTTCAGGAGGACCTAACTGAACTTCAGGGCTAGGCGAATCGCAACTGACCTACTTTCAATGCTACATTGTAAAGTGGTTCATGTGAGGCATGTTATGAAGTACAAATACGGCTTTGGTAAGTCCTTTGCAGAAGCACCTCGGGCTAAAAAAACATCATAGAGTTTTGACACCCTAAAATTCCAAGTCTTCTGCTAACTGTGATAAAAAGCCTCTGGAACCAACCTCACACTGACAACTATGAAGCTCATTTTCATCCATTTTCACAATGAAACTTTCCATCTGATATTATTTTCCCCTTCGCTTCATAAGAACAAGGATACTCTGGCACATACCTAAAGGCGATGCCTGAAATTTTCTGCCAACTGAAGCAGTTCGAGCAACTCCATTGCAGTCCTTCAAGAAGGAACTTGACATATTCTTGAGGACTTTGGATATCATTTCACCATAGCTTGCTAATATTTCTCTTTACGTTACCAAGTAAATCTAGGTTCCAAACTAGAGGGCAGGTTGTCATCTGAAACTAGATGCAGAAGTCCACCAAGCCAGAGCTTGTTCTCTTCCTTCCACAACCATTTGAACCATCTGAACCACTTGAACCACGTACGTACCCACGGCTTGCCGTCCCTCGAATACCTGTAATAGGTGCATTTTTGTACATTTCCATTACCACTACTATCATTCTTATTATTGCCGGCCTAGCTCTGCTCACCCCACCATTTGTAATCTACGACTGTCTGTTATTCTTAGCTTTCTTTCTGTTCACGTTGCTTGCATAAACTGTCCATACATCACTCCAGACAGTCATTTTCCCCTTCCTCCTCGATATTCTGGATTCATCATCTTTTACTGTGCAGTGTTTGCAACTAACTAATCTCCCGTCTGACAATATGATAGCTGTAGATCCTAGCGATCCTACAGCCCCAGAACAAACACATTTATTTATACTCAAGGAATATGAAATTCCAAATAACAACAGAATTCACAGGAGCTAGTGAAATCGAATGTCGAGACTGCCCATATTCGAAGTTAATTAGGACCATGCACAGTACCATAACATTTATTTATTCCTCGAGACAATCGTCTTCTTCTGGCACTTGAATTATGAGATGGATGGGCCTACAAATAACTGCTAAACCGACTAGAATTAGTCCAATCGAGTGGTTACACTACTTTACCCATTGGACATTTTCAAACATCTAGCAATGTACACACAAGAAACAAGCGCGTGACAAAGATATTGGATATTGGAAATGGGTCGTTTGTATGGTACGTTGCATCTTGCAAATTTAGTGCACTATCCTCCTTCACTGTATTTGAGGTTCATCAATTCTTTGGTCAATCCTAGTTTAGGCTCAGTAATATCTTGCACTGGGTATTGTTTTCTCAGCTTAGTGAAGTAGCAATGGTTTTTATCAATCGTGATTTGTAAAACTTCAGATCTTGTCTATAGTATATACTATAGATCCATTCCAGTTGGTGACAGTTGGCCCAAATTATATGAACGACTTTGGTCATTTCATAAATATCTTTGCAAGCTCACAACCACTCGTACGGTTCAAAACCAGGTTAGGGATTACGATTAATAGTTAGCTAATCCCAGGGTCTGGTTGACACTGGTAATGGTTTCCAAAGCTAAGGTGACACTAAATAAGCTATTTGTTAGCGAAAAGTGTTGGTTTACCTAGTTGTTCCCTTATATTCACATCTGTTGACGTTTAAGTTGCACAGGTTATGAATTCCCAGTTTATGGAAAGATCACTTACGACAATATCGAATCTGCTATCTTTCCTACTGATTTTCTAGCCATGCTCTGAGAACTTATAAACAAAATGAAGTTTGGACTTGCGACTCATCATTAACAGATACTTCATGCCATTTTAGTAGTGTTTGAATAAACCGCATTCAGAACTTAAGTTTTCATACACGTCGACAAATTAAGGCACCGCTTAATAAAAAAACAATGCTATTGTCACAAAAACAAGGTACAAAATACTGAACCAGGCATAGCCAGCTGCCTATGATTTTCATGACTTTTCATCTTCGTTTCCCCTCGTATCATTCACCTTTAAGGATTTAAATTAAATCCATAAAATATTACTAAGACATATGGAGTTTTGACTGAATACGAGTATGAACGGATCCATCAAAAATAACCGATTTCTGAAACACCAGAAATAGATAGAAACAGCATCAATTTCAAAAATAGTGAACCCTTTTACTAGTAATATTTTCGGAATTTTCATTAATTCAGAAAAAGGTATACTTCTCAATTCACATTATTTTTTACCATTATTCTCACAATTTCCCTGGAGGAATTTTGCACAATATATATTATTTTCATGTGACTTATTATCATTAATATTGTGATTACCATTCTTGATACCACTTTAATTAACCCAACGCTATTCTACATTATGTTCACAGGGTTCGTTGCATTATATTGACTATAAACCAACACCTTTTAGCCGATCTTCTTACCCTTTTTTTAAATGACCTATAAGACTTACAAATGACATTCTAGACATGCTTAAGTCGTGATCGATGTAAAAGTTCACCATTTTAGCGTAGAACATTATTTCATGCAACCACAACTGATACGTACATGTCTTATTTCAATCACCGTAATATAGCATTTATGGATCTATAACTGTACAGTTTGACGAAATTACTGAAAACAACTATTACCTCAAACATTCCTTGTTTTCAATACTCTGTGGGGACTTTTGAACCCATACAAATTGTTAAAGTATGTTTCATTTGTGAATGGATCATGTATCAGAATGGGTTTTGTGGAGAATTTTAGAAATTTCACAGTGGTGCGGGATCGTGGATGCGCACTGCTGAGGAGTCCCATACCAGGACGAAACGGCCGTCCAGTGCTTCCAGGTTTTCAATGGTGGTCTAGCTCCAACTGACTCATGATTTCAAAAACGGACCATGTATCGTTAATTATTCAACAACTGTCAATTTTGATTGGTGTTCTGTGTTTTAATATCCCTCTGAACTATCAATTACGTTGTAACTTATCACTTGCAATTTTTATCATTTTATTTATAGAAGCATGCTTCAGAAACATTCCAATCCACCTCTTGGTTTAGAACGGATTCATCGATATTTCTGTTACGTTTGTGGAACTCTTCTTCCACACAAGTTGGAAGTTCATGATTTATTAGTATGCCGAAAATGTAAAACATCTACGTGTATGCATTGGTTCAGTAATATGGATGCAACTTTCAATACTGAAGCCAAATCTGGCAAAATAAACCAATCTAATGATGATGAGTATGAATCCACATCTTTATTCTTTCCATCAATGATTAGAGGGGCTAAAAAGATCTTAAGATCAGAAATTGCTTTAAAGGAGGCTTTGGAGTCACAATTTGAAAACGGTACATCACAATCAACATTTGATGGACCAACTATTAGAAAAGAATGTGCTTATTGCGGCAATGATAGAATGACTTATGTTACACTTCAAACTCGTTCAGCAGATGAAGGACAAACTGTAATATATACTTGTACCCAATGTTCTAAAAAAGAAATTGAAAATACTTGATTAAGTGTTTTGATTTTACCCATTAGTATTCATATTAGTTTAGTTTTGTCGGCTAAATCTTAAGGTTAGTACTTTTATCATGACCCACTAATACGTTTAAAATACAAAGTTGAACACAAACACCTCTTGCTAAATAATTTATTATCAAACTGTACGAATGTTTTTTTGCGAATGAAAATTTGAGGCTGTATTCCTTGAGGAAATCTAAGTACTGAATAAACACAATGTCATAGAAAAATAATCGTATTACTGAGCTATTAATTATACGTGATAACAACACAAGGTTGGATAACTTCTTCAGGATGTGTAAACAGAAAAGGGGTATCAAACTAAAATTTAATATTAGATTAGGTTATGGATGGATTAAGGTAGTTAAATGTGTCAGAGTGCTTAAATGAAATGATATTGGAAACAATTACAAGCGTAAATCGGGGAGTTGTAAAAACGTTTAAGCAGAAGGACTCATTTACAAACACAAAAAGTATGTGAGAAAACAATAATGATGGTGATAATAGATAAGATAAAGATAGGATACACTTCTCTTGTGAACAGTGGATAGCTAAAGCTGGTGTTTTACAGAGTTGACGATGAAATGTGCATAGATTCATATGAATTATGTAAATAACCTCAAAATTAACTTGTGAGTTAGTCGAATGAACGCAGTCAATTAGATGTCCAAGGATAGAACTAGCTGCTTTCATCTCACTGTCGTAAAACTAGGCTGCAATAGGTTCTCATATATATGTTGAAAGTGAGCTCTGTCTTTGGTCTATATGGTTTGCGTGATAAGAGTAGGTGAACCGGTAGATGGTGGAGAAGATTTGTAGCTCAGGTGGATGATTTTGGTGGAGTTTTGTTCTCTGAGCTGGATGGTGTGCTCAGAGAACAAAACTCCACCAAAAAAAAAACGAACCGGTAGATTCACACAGAGGGCGCCCTATCTCTCACAGATACGCAGAGCTTTTTTGTTAGTAAGATTTGATTGTAGTTTTACTGAGTAAATTGTTTCATCCCTGCCATCGAGTCGCTCGGTCATTAATTAAAATATTAAGATAAGATGAAATGCAATTAATTATACCAATATATTGGTAGTATAGTTCAGTTGGTTGAAAGTTGATACTTCTGGGGACATTGTATTCTCACTTGATGTTCTTAGTTCACCAGTGTATTTCTAACATAATTTATGTTAAATCTGTAACTAAGTTGTGTCACACGTCAAAGATATTGGTTTGCTTACTATTTGGCCACATGGACTGTTATCACGCTGCAATTTGAACTTTCAGTTTATTTATGGTCTAGAAATCTGCAAATAAAAGGTCGAAATCATCTTAGGTGCTTTTTTCACAGATTGCTTCATACCTAAGTTTGAAAACCCCGGCATAATGTAGTCATTAGACGTCTCAACTTCTACGGAAAACATAAAACTATCATATTTATAAATTTCTATGAAGAAGTTGGCCTCATTAACGGTTAACATCCTTTCAATGCTTGTAAATCACGATAAGGAATTAGATCTACCTATCTCATTTCTCGATGTGCTAACTTATTCACAAATATCTTGTGGAAGTTGCTCAAACTTGTATTGTTATCCCTTACAATAAATTATAATATTAAAGTTTTATTTTTGTTATATCATCTTGTTCATCATAAAATGAAGTCTCAATTTCATGTAAATACGGTTGTACAGCTTGATAACAAGTTATTTGTTTCACTTCGTACTTATCTAATGTACGTATGAGTTTGATAATTCCTCGTAAAATACTCTTTATCACACTTATAATTCCTGTCATTGGGACGCAACCCTAAATAAATTCAAACACGTGTAACCCTTCAGTAAATTAGTATATAGAGCAGAGTTCGAGTGTTTGCGTATTCTTAAGTGTTCATACCCAATTTCTAACTAGTAAACTCTTAATTAAAGATATCACTGTATCCGAGGAACTATGTCAGTCCTGTGATCTGTTATGACGAGTTGAGTATCGGACAAGTTGTAACTTTTGGGACTATCTTTCGGATTATCATTATTTATATTTCTACTGTATAGTTAAATAATAAATACTCGTACCATTGTATTTATATGTTATCACTGTAAGCTTCCAGTTGACCCATTAACTGTCTTTAGATGTTTTACTATCCTTTAATTATTGGTAACTGTTCTCTTCACTCCCTACCACGTGCGGCCTAATTGTATTTGAAGTATGATTTATTATTTGGTGTTCTGTACAGTCTAATCTGTGTATATAAGTTAATAGGTGTTTGAGGTAGTTGTTGGCTGAGCTGGGTAATTGAAATATACCTATAGTAGGACCCGGCTGCTAATTTCCCTTCGGACTCAATGTAGAGGACAGAAAAAAAAACTTTTGGATAACAAATCAATAAAAGTGTAGCTTGAAATGGCTCAAGGTTAACTGCGCAGGTCAAAACGTATAGTTAGTCAGCTCTGGGATTTTAGATTTTAATCAGAATAGTAGACTAGAGAGAGAAAAAAATATATTGTAATCAGGATTTTGACTGGTAACTTTAGCACATGATACCGATTAGTGTCTCAAGTCATGACAAAATTGTTGACGGGAATTTCGAGCAGAGAAAGCGAAAAGAATTAATAGCAATAGATTAAATTTCTGATATTGGACACCAAGGAATCTTAGTTAATGAAGCAGTAAGAAGGAGAATAATCCTGCATTCAGTAGATAGCTTCAATGAATAAAGAGATTTGAAACGATTATTTTGAATTCGCTTCAGTTCCATGAGAATTTAAGAAAAGTTCAGCAGAAGAAAGTGATCTCTATTACCGTAGAGAGGATGCATATATTGTTACAGAAGTAAGAGATGTTCATTAAGCATCATTTGAAATTTACAGAAAAGCTCAATTCAGGGTTGATGAAACCTTCAATTTCTTTAATAATGGTGAAAATTGATAAAGAAATTTATCAATTTCGTACAAATGTCCCCATAATAAATAGATACATGCGTTAATAGCTGCAGTAGTTTAACTGATTTAATAGTCATATCTAATCCTTCCAGTGATTCAGTAGAGGCTGTTTCAGAAACGAATCCTAGAGGGAGTTCAAATCTCGTTATGTCTGAGGCAGAGTGTACAACTACTGAGTTGTCAAGTGCAAAGCAGGAACATCATTTGTAAGTTTTCGTTCAAAACATATATATATATATATATATGATAGATTTCTGCTTCTACGCCTTCGGGAGTTATTTATTTAATTAAATACATAAAAACTGGTACAAAAGAGCACCGAATATATGCGCAACACACAAGTCACTTGATATAATTTACGGGTGCCCAGATCGAAGCAGGTGGTTTCCTTAGGGGGGGGGCACACCCCGAATCTTTTACCTATAGGTCTGATCCACAAGACAGTGGAGCAACGTTTGGGGATGCAGTCCAACGGTAACCGTTCACCAATAATAAGTTCATACACTATTTGTCCCTTCAGGATCCTAGAGCTCATATGCATCATTGGTTTGGAATCAGGATTTCCTAACTAACTCTTCTATGTTGATCCTCCATATCCACCAAGCCGGTTAAAGTGCCAGATATTCTCTTATCGTCCTTTCAATTTCGTAAACGAAACCCTCAACGCGTTAAGGTAATGAGTAGGACTTCCCTGACAATGACTGTATACGAGTGGTTATATGAAAGCATTTCGAGAGAGAGAGAGAGCTGACTCTTCCCACCCTCAACCGTACCAGGGGTATTTGGGTACTGATAGTTCCATACCTAACTGTAACTCATAAACTAAAAATTGATATAATAATTAAAACGTACCTCATAATTTATGAAAACCAAGTAAGAAAAACAAAATTCCTATACAAATTGAATGGAATTAAACAAATGTTTTCCTTTCATAAATAAACAAACATGGATGAATATTGATATGAATCATATTCCAAAAATACCAGCTTGGATAAAACTGTATCCCATGGAAACAATCAATTTGAAGAATTTGTTTGAAAGATGACAATTCCCGATTGATTATTTCTATTGATAGTTCTGATATAATATGTGTAAAATTTGAAGAGTTTAATACGTTAAAATTAGTTTCTAAACCTTCTGTTTTATTGTAACTAAAGAAAAAAAAAAGAATAGATTCAATGAATAGAAAAGTGTTATATCCGAGCGAAGATTAAATCACGAGTAACTTCTGAGACATTATGTTTTTGATGGAAATCATGAGTGAATTGAAGCTAGACCATCATGGAAAACCTGGAAACACTAGACGGCCGTTTCGACCTAGTATGGGACTCCTCAGCAGTGCGCATCCACGATCCCACACCCCGCGAAATTTGAACCCAGGACATGTCAATCTCGCGCCAGGCGCTTAACCAACTAGATCACTATATATTTATATTCCTCTTATTATAAGCTTTATTTTGACCTATATATTATTATTGTACGATTTACTATTCTTCAGTTGTGTTCAGTTTATTGACTACTGCCTCCCATGTTCACAGCCACTTTCTGGCTTTATTGTGTACAAATATTATTTCTTATTTTATGGTGCGTTGCGATCTGTTTGACTGATATATAAACACAGTATGTCTGAAATAAATGATTCGATTCGATTTGCATATTGGAAGCTGGTATTTGGTGTTCTGAACTCAAGTGGATGGGCTAGACGGACATAGGACCAATAAGGACACTAGGCTGCTCATATCGGTCGAACGTCATTGGTTTGGCACAGTGCTAAGATTGTATAAGTCGTATTTTGATTGGTGGACAAATCATGTGATAAAAAGCCGGACATAAAGTCATAACAAAAAGGAGATGTGATTTAGAATAATAAGATTAATATGATAAAATTTATCTTATTCTATTGCATTCTAAACAGTACTCATCATTATAAAATGATAAACCAATAGAGTAAGTTACTTATTTTGTTGAAAGTCATAGATAAACTGAATAAATCCCAAAATAAGAAACTATAGTTCTAAGGAAAGATAGATAATAGTCTAGCAGTGAAATCTAGTTTGCCGCACAACATTTTGTCCTATTTGGGACTCGTCAACTGGATGTACATATATCTCAGAGTTCATATTCACTATAGGACTCGAATCCAGTATCGTTCACTTTAAACACCTTCATGTTATTCACTTAGCTACTGAGTCTTGGATAACCATTTGGTTGTGCAATGGAGTGAAGTTTAGGACTCCAATTGATCAATCTCAAATAGAATGAAACGCGCGTCCTAGATTCCACTACTAGCCACTATCCATCTTTGCTTAGAATGCTTGTAAATTAAGGTAATACGCACAGTATGTACATATTGCCAACAAGAGACTGATCAATTGCAGTCCTAAATAACAATGGGAAGATTCAAGTAAACAATACCAAGTGAATTTGACCTAATGATAATTATAATATGATATAGCGAATTGTTCATATTTAACACAGGGCGTACAAAAATATCTTTCTTTCGTGATTATAAACTGATTTATTGATTCTGTAGAATGAAACAAATCGGTGTTTCAATCAAACCATAGTAAAAGAAATGATTAGATGTAGAAAAAAAGGTGTAGAGAGATTTCATCACTCAGGTTCTAAGCGGAGAAAAAAGTGATTGCGCCTGTTTCACCATGAATGATTCTAAGCCATATCATTTAAAGTCTCTAAGCATTTGGTTACGTTAATTATATGGACTTGAATCAAATAGTCTGTACCTGATAAGTCTTGCCGACTGAACACTATATTCGTTCCTAAGCTATTCTGATAACCCGAACGCTAGAACTATACAGCGACCTGAACAAAAGAAAGAAGACGCAAAGTATGGGAGAGACACTTTACTCCAAGGTTCCTTTTTGCACAGAAAACATGGGTATTTATAGATGTTAACATTTGTTAAATCAACATCATATTTCGGCCAATCCGTTAACGACATATTATGCTACTGACCAATAGTAGCACGCCACGTTGGAATTCTAGAATGCTCCATCATGTTCTGATTAGCTAGGACTCTTCAGCTCCCTTTGGGCCTATAGAGGCTCCGCTGAAGTTCTCCGAAAGCCGACTCAACAGTACCTAGCTACATAACTCAGTCTAATTGTCGATGACTTCATGGGGAACTAGTGCCACACTCCTTAGATCTCAAGCTTTCTTTCAACCTACCTCTACACTATACAACATCGACTGTCGAGGTATTCGGCAGTTTAGCATATGTAACATAAGTCATAACCACTTCAGCTGATAAAGATTTATCACCTCATCAACAATATTTACTTAGTACAGTATGCCTAAACCTCAGCAATTTACATTTATAAAACTGATTATTGAATTCATCACTAAGCACTGAGCCAAAAAAACTCAACAAATAAATAAACTGATCGATATATATATATATATATTCAGTTTCAACGTACATCCATTGATTGTTTTCTTCTAAAAAGCGTGTTACACCGGTTTGTGCAGCCAAATTACAAATATGAATGTGAACATCTATAAAAGAAAATACAACACATACAGATGATTCCTCTTTAAGGATACAGACAATAATAATTAGAGCTATGAAAGGAATTCATTGTAAATGTACATTTGAATGAAGATAAACTATACTCTCATTCAAAATTTCGACCTTAAGCCTGGCAATCAATCAAAATGAAAAGGGGGAATTATTGTTTACATTATCGTAATCTGTAATGAAGGATGTGTTTTATTCTTTGTTATTTTTACTGACTCTTCCCACCCCCGGCCGTATTAGGGGCATTTGGGGTGGGGGGGGGCAGATTGATTTAATAATCCCTCAATGATAAGATTCCATATAAATGTGACATATTCAAAACTTACCGATAGAATGATACTAATTAAAATTTCACGTTTATTAGTAGATTATATTTACGATTCTGAATTAAACAATAAAAAATCATGCAATCGCTAATCTGTCCACTTGGTTCTATCATTCTAACAGTGAACACAATATAGATCAGAATACTGAGTAAGAGGATATTCTATCTACGTAATGCATGAAAAGACTTAATATCATGATCTTCTAATGCCCCCGAACGCCCTGGTACGGCCAAGGGTGGGGAGAGTCCACTTTCCCTCTCCAAATGCTCTCACATGACTACGCGTATACATCCATTGACAGGGAAGTCCTACTCATTGCGAAGAAAAATGTTCTCTTCTCGACGAAATCACCTAATTATTCTATACATTCGTACTTATAGTTATATGAAAAACATATGCCAATATATAATCATTGGGTCGGGATTATGTGGAAGTCCTACACATTGTCTTCTTGCGTTGAGGGTGTCGTATAAGAAATTGAAAGGATGATAAGAGAATATCTGGCACTTTAACCGGCTTGGTGGATATGAAGGATTGACATAGAGGAGTTAGTTGGGAAACCCTGATTCCAAACCAATGATGCATATGAGCTCTAGGATCCTGAAGGGACAAATAGTGTATGAACTTATTATTGGTGAACGGTTACCGTTGGACTGCATCCCCTAACGTTGCTCCACTGTCTTGTGGATCAGACCTATAGGTAAAAGATTCGGGGTGTGCCCCCCTAAGGAAACCATCTGCTTCGATCTAGGTACCCGAACATTATCATAACCCACACACAAATCAAGTGACTTTATTATTATTATTATTATTATTATTATTATTATTATTATTATTATTATTATTATTATTATTATTATTATTATTATTATTATTAGTTGTTAACATAGAAATATGCTTATATTCTAGTCAAGTCAGTCATGCGTTCTTAATCAAAGTTATGTTGATATCCTATAGACCGCTAACAGGATAACTATTCATCTAAGTTAAATTTTAACATCTCATTGATGTCAAGAAGAAAACTAGGCTGGTGGAGAGGATTTGTAGATCAGGTGGATGATTTTTATGGGGTTTTGTTCTCTGAGCTAGATAGTTTGGTCGTGGAGCTTTCATCTTTCTTCTGAACAATATCATCGGCACAAACTTCAGGTAGAAGTAAAGTGTTCGAACCAACCAGGAAAATTCTGCACAAACATAGGAACAAAAATCAAACCAATGGAAGATACAACCAAAACAAAGAAGTAAACAATGACAAGTTGAAGATAAACAACAACTAATCAACATCGGAATGTACAGGACAAGCTTTGAATCATATGTGGAGAAATTCGAACACTTCATTTCTACCTGAAGTTTGTGTTGATCATGTCGTTCACAGGAACAACGAGTAAGCTCCACGACCAAATCATCCAGCTCAGAGAACAAAACTTCATCAAAAAAGAAAACTAAGTGTTATTACAAATATTTTATAAGAACTAACTTACCAGTTCGATGAATTAAATGATCCATATGATTAAGTTTAGTTAATGCTTCACCACCAGGATAATTTTTTCTTGCAATCATTATCAATATAATGGAACATAGTATATTCACAAGAAGATGTATATAACAATAGAAAATGAATAAAATACGAAATTTTGTTATTCTATTTAATTTATGATGATTTTTAATTAAATCCATATATGTTCCTTTCAATTTAAGCATTGGTTTCTCTCTATAATAAAAGAAAACAAGAAGAAGAAGAAGAAGAAGAAGAAGAAGAAGAAGAAGAAGAAGAAGAGGAAAACTACATTTAATATAAATTAGAAACAGAGGGGTTTTGTGGAGATTATAGTAATCTAATAATTGAAATCATGAGTCAATTGAAGTTAGACCATCATGGAAAAACGTGGAAGCACTGGACGACCGTTTCGTCCTAGTATGGAACTCCTCAGCAGCGCGCATCTACGATCCCAATACGCGAGATTCGAACCCAGGACTTATCAGTCTCATGAATTCAACTATAAAATGACTAAAATCTCCACAAACCTTCCACTTCTGGTATTAATTATTCTATGCTCACTAGTGACTGGCTTCAAGAGGTATTTCCTGGAGTTCTAGTGAGAAGCAATGATCAGTGGAATTCAACTGGGTCTGTTGTGAGATAGTAAATCACTAAAGGCAATGGTGGATATGTCACTCAATTTCGTGGATTAGTTGGAGTTAGATAATTACACTGTTGGATACCTGCTCAGTGGTCTAGAGGTTAAGGGTTAGCGCGAGACTGATAAGTCATGGGTTCGAATCCCATAGGGTGGGATCGTAGGTGCGCACTGCTGAAGAGTCTTATACTAGGATGAAATGGCCGTTCAGTGCTTCTAGGTTTTCTATGGTGATCTAGTTTCAATTGACTCATGAACTCAATTAATAAATTAGGAAGCGTACAATGTTATTTTTTTGTCAATAAAAATAACACTATTTGATAGTTTGTATAGTAAACAAATATAAAAGATATTGACATATGTGCATCCTGTGAGGATTGCCTCAATATTGACACCAAGTCACAAGCATTATAAGCAAAGATGGATGATGGCTAGCAGTGGGATCCAGTTTAACGAGCGTTTCGTCCTATTTGAGACTCGTCAACTGGATGTACCTATATCTCAGAGTTGATGTCAGTCAGTTGGCTACAACATAGAACCAGGCACATATATGCATCCGTCCAAGTCGTCATACCTCATTAGCACAACAAGATGAACACCGAATTCATAGAAGTAGCCACTTCAATGGTGGCAACATATAAAAGAAAGATTGTATATAAGGATATAGTGCATGAAAAAAGAATTAGTTGGTAGATCAGAGTTGATATTCACTTCCGGAACTTGGACCCAGTACCATTCACCGCTAGTCAATATAAACTAATTAAAATATTGATTCAATGAAAGGTCCTCCCTTTTTTCGATGAATTCAAAGTTGTACAATCACAATTATAATACTTTTGTTTCAAAAATGATAATAATGGTGATAATAAAAATTTTGCTAAACATGATAATAATGAAGTAAAATAAATAAAAACGTTGTTTGTATTAAGGAAACTAAAGACAATTTTGTTGTTGAATTCATGAACGTGGAAGCACTGGACGACCGTTTCGTCCTAGTATGGGACTCCTCAGCAATGAGCATCTACGATCCCAACCCATGAGATTCGAACCCAAGACTTATCAGTCTCATAAATTCAACTATGAAATGACTAGAATCTCCACAACCCCCCCCATCTGATAATAATCATTGTATGCTCACTAATGACTGACTTTCTATTCAATACTCAATTTATTTGAATCTATTTAAATGTTGGCTTATAATTATTATTATATTATCATTATTTGAACACATAGATATTGGTACAAGGAGGCACCAAATACATATGCATCACACAAATCTTATTTGATGTGTGCGAGGGTTGTGATACTGCCCTGGTGCCCAAACTGAAGCAATTGGTTTTCCTAGGGAGCCACACCTGGAGTCTTCGACCTGAAGGTCTGATCCACAAGGCAGCCGAGCATCGTAAGGAGATGCAGTCCCATGGTAGCCGGTGATCAACGATTGGTTCATACACCGTTTGTTCCCTCAGGATACTTGAGCCAATGTGCACCATTGGTTTGGAATCAGGGTTTCACAACTAGCTCCTCTATGTCGATTCTCCATACCCACCAACCCGGTTAAAGTGCCGGACATTCACTTTCCGCCCTCTCAATTTCGTAAACAACACCCTCGCCACGAGAAGGCAGTGAGTAGGACTTCCCTGTCAGGGGCTATATACACGTGGCCATTTGAGAGCATTCCGAGAGGGTGAGCGGACTCTCGCCACTCTCGGCCGTACCAAGGCATTTGGAGGCTTTATAATTACAGAAAAATAAAAATACTTAAGTAATATACAAAAATGATAAACAACTTACAAATAAGCCCAAATATCTGCTACCACTAAATTGAATATAGGTAATATATAAATAATGAAACGTAATTCTTTATGAGGTAAGAAAGAGTATAAACCAACAAATATAAAACCAACTAATAATAATCCATTCGATTGTAAATAGATTATGTTATGCTGGTAACCAAAATACTTTTGTAAAGGTATTGAGAGAATGATTATAATAATCCATGTAAATAATAATATATAAGTGGATAAAAGTGATTTCGGTAATGCAGATGTGAAATACCAATGAAATGGATATATCTAAAGAATACATGTTTAGAATATAGCATGTGATTTATAACAATCTACACACACACACACAACGTATGTACGTTATCCAGTCAGAAACATCTGACATTGCTGAGGAGTGCCTTTGCGTGTGGTTAGTTCTATAATTTGTCCACGTACAATTAAGGCTAGAAAAGGGTTAAAGTGAATAAATACGCAGTATGACTAGAAAAAGGTATGATTGTGGTCTATTTAATCATTAACTATAACTTTGTAGTATCTTAATAACTCAGCTTCGCAGTCGTGTTATTATCATTGTTACTGAGGATCTTTAGAAAACTAAACCTTACAAAATGGAGGAGTCAACTATGTGCTTCAACCCGATAAATCTCTTCAGGTAAGAGATCAATATCAGTCAAAGTGTTATTTTCAGTTTTCTTATGGATAACCAAATTAATTAAATTTGGGATAGTAGTACAGCATTAGGCTATACTAACTGTCGTAGATGATTCAGATTACTTAGCATGCAGGGTGGCAACAATAAGAACATACTGGAAGAGGTGCTAAAACTAAAATGTTGTACCAATCTATGACTGTGGATGTGAGTAGTATTGATAGCTGGAGTCCGTGAGATAATTGGGATCAAAGGTTGAATGATTGACCAAGCAAGGCTTAAAATCGGCTATAGTGCTACAATTGTATCCATTCCCGATCTAACATTACTGTCATAGACTTTCGACTCCTAGATTCTAGTCGTTTTTTTTCAAACTTTTAATATCTAATTTTTACGATCATTGATACTATTATAACATCCATTTTGCCTCCCTTTGAATGCACTGATACAAAGTACAGCAACTTGGATTGTTGCATACTTGCACCAAGTGTTACATTCTTAATGACTGACTAAACCTATTCACACAACAATTTGATAGATTTTATCTTAATAATCACCTTATTGAAGTAGGATATTACGTGGTTGTCAAATCAGAACTTTTAATCTTAAAAACGAAAATGGTCAATAGCTGAGAACAATCAGATACAAATAAACTATAGTAAACCTCGAAATAAGCGGAAGTTCACTATCGGTCCTCTCGAAAGTTAATTGACAATATGATCGGTCTGTACCTTACGTTATTCGAACAGACTATACTTACAGAGTACTTGTCATCCATTGTTAGTCTATTTTAAAGCCACTGTTGATGACAATTTTCAACAAAATCGAATTATGTGCGTAGTGATTTAGGGTTGGTCGACTGAAATATATAATTCTGCTTTGCATAGTCAACTCATTTAGACACAATTATTTCGACGATAAGCAATTCCAAATTAATATCAAAAACGAGATGGTGGAGAAGATTTACAGCTCAGATGGATGATTTTGATGGAGTTTTGTTCTCTGAGTTGGATGGTTCGATCGTGGATCTTTCATTGTTCTTCTGAACGACATCATCACCTGATGATGAAAGCTCCACGACCGAATTATCCAGCTCAGAGAACAAAACTCCATCATAATAACAAAAACCAATTTTAACATATTTTGACGGATTTTCGAACACCCTACTTTTTAGTACTTAAAATGTTGAAAATTCAGTAGTTTAGCTGATGACAATTAAGAGTTCAAGTCAATCAATCTTGTAGTTATTGAATACACCGATGTTCATCGAGCGACAACGGTATTCAATGAACTACACACACAAAAAAATAAAGAAAATATATCAATTTTGATTTTAAAAATGGTCAACATTATAGATAAAAGCTAAAACTAGATCAACACAAAAGGATACTCCCCATTGTCCACTTTTATTTAAAATTGTATTGAAATAAAATACTTCAAATTCTGGCCAGATTAATCTACCCCATAACAGAGAATCAATTAAAACACTGGACCCTGTACGGAAAGTTTAAGAAGCATTGATTAATTATAATTCAAATACATACCGATACTGATGATAGTAGTTGTAATGATTGTTTTCAACAGTTTCAGTCGAAGTTTAACAGATCCAGTAAATAGACCATATAAAAGACATGGACCAAATAGCAAAATTAATTCACTACGAAATACAAGAATTGCAATTCCAGCTGATGTAACAAATTTCGTTTCATTGCGAGTGATCAAATGACCCAACGAATACAAGACTACAATAGAAAGGAGAATTCATAAACATATGTACTTTTAGTTACTACTAATATTTTAACTAAATAACCCATTTGCAATGGAATGTGCGATACATTAATTATGTGACAGTTAATTATCCTAACCGACTACTATAAGAAAAATGGAGTGGGAATGTTTCAAGTTGGTGCTCTGAAGATTTAAGTCTAATGCTAAAACCAGTTAAATACGGCTCTATATGATGGACAAAGTCGAAATCTCAATGACTAACACACATTCTGCCAAATTTCATTTAATAATAAGCGAACACAATATCCATGAAACCAAACACACTAAAAGTAACAGTCAGTCAGTAACAATGTAGAACTTCGTACGTACGTACATTAGTTCGAGTCGCCATACCACATTAGCACAGAGATGCAGTTGTCGATTCAAATCCCGTAGTGGTAGAGGTAGTAAGAGTATAAGCAGTAATCGGGAAGATTAGGGTTTGAAGATGTTATTTAAAGAGTATAATACAGTGAAATAAATTTGGGAAAAGAAAAAAGACACAAGGAGGAATCGGGAGATTAAAATTTGGGAGAACACAAAGAGTGTATGCACCTGTGCCATTGCAAATGATTTTGAGTCATGTCATCGGTTGCTGTCATCTCGCGGTCCCCAACCAGGCAAGTTAATTTAGGTCCTCCGACTCTTTATGAAGTTGAAAAAGCTATCGGAAATCTGAAGCGAGGGAGAGCAGCAGGCCCTGACAGGTTAACTACTGAGATTTCTAAGGATGGTGGTCCAGTATAAGCAGTGAGATTAACTGAGGTCTTAGGTAGAATTTGGGAACTGGACGCAATCCCATCTGACTGGTCTCAATCACTGATTGTGCCAGTCTATAAGAAAGGACAAAAGTCCTCTTGTGACAATCACAGAGGAATCAGTTTGACAAATATAGTGTCTAAAATATTAGCTTCAATAATACTTCGACGCCTAACCAAAGCTCGTGAAGAGCAGACTAGAGAAAACCAGGCTGGTTTTCGACCTGGACGTGGCTGTATAGACCAGATATTCACACTACGTCAGGCTCTAGAACACAGACACACGTTCAGACGCCCCACCAATAATAACAAATGCCACTGAAGGAAGGTGACAAAAGTACTCCATAAAGCATCTGGAACAGCAAGGTGATAACTATTAAATTGAAAATAAAAGTTTGGCATGGTCTCAATGTTTTGGATATAACTTTATAAAATGCCAATTATGAGCGGTGCTGAAGAATCATAGAGTAAATTGATACAGTAGTTTGACGTTCCTTTTCTTTTATTAATCCCATGGACATTATTTAATTTTGAAATAATCTAGTTTTCTAATTAACCACATTAACAGTAAAAATTAGACCACAAGAATCATAAAGTTCCAGGTTATACCGAGAAGTTTGAACTGAAAATTGGTTTAAAAAACCCATATTCACCTTTTACCAAATCAATAAAGAAAAAACTCTCGAAGCTTTTCTGATAATAACAAATTGGATTTCTAAACCATTGCACAAGCAAAAAAAGTAATCATAGGCACAGATGAGTGGCAATTAGCCCCGAGTTCGAGTCCCGAAGCAAACATTCAGTCTAGAATGCAGGTACATCCGGCTGACAAGTCCCAAATGAGACGGAACACACGTCAAACTAGATTTCACTGCTAGCCACCATCTATCTCTGCTTACAATGCTTGTGACTTAAGACAATATCGAGGCAATCCGCACAAGATGCACATATGTCAATAAGAGACTGATAAATTTCAGTCCTAAACATCAATGGAAATATTCAAATCAACCAATACAAATAAACTAAAACAATCATCTTTAGAAAAATGTTCAGTATCATGAAGATTAACTAATTTGATCCTTATTAAGCACAAGATAGAAATGTGATTAGTAATTTGTACGTAACCTCAGGGTGTTAGATTTTGCTGATTTAGACGGGGATAAACGGACCACAAACATGCTCGCATGGTTACGTAATGCAATAGAAATGAGTGTTTTCAATATTCACTAAGCAAAACTATGGTGTATATGCATCCCAAGTTAACTAGTGAGTCTCCTGGTATATTAATCTCTGAAAATAATAAATGAGAGCGTTATTTCTGAAAGAATGTGCATGACAAATTTATATGAAAATGGGGAAAGTGGACAACGCTGAAAAATATCATTTGACATTATTAGTTTTGACAAAAGTTCACCATAAACTTATTCAGCAGGTACTTGAGGTTGAGTAACGTTCTAAATGTGGGGGGTAATGATACTATTGGGTTGCCCGAACCAAAGTAGGTAGAGGGAGATTCGAATTGTAGCCGGAAGTCAAATGCTTCAACTAAAAAGCTACCACCACACGTTTTGATCCGAAAAGTAATGTTCAATTAAAGAAACTCGACAACATTTTTGTACATCTTTGCGACGTCTATCAATGGCAGACATTACCATTAAACCTGCCAAGGAGGTCGAATCCTGCCTTAAGGTTAGGAAACATCATCATAGTTGGGTATCAGTATGTGTGTTTCCGTTCCAGAATCTGGTGATAATTAATTAATTCATCAGTACATATTGTTCTTGCCCAGGACAGGGTTGGATGGAGAACGCTGGTGAGCGGCCTATGCTCCTTCACGAGGAGTAACAGGCGTAAGTAAGTAAGTAAGTAACATATTGTTCTGGAAGTGATTAGACTATTGATCATTTAAGATAGGGAAAATGATTTTGAAAGGTTGTTTAATCATTTAGTATTAAAATACCTTATCTTATCCATTAAATTTTTTTTAGAAGCAGTGAGTAGGCAAGACACTGAAAACATTTCAGAATAATTAACCAGCAACTGAATATAACTAGATTTTGAGAAGAGAGAAACAGAAACACACAAACATTGTAAGCTTCATACAGTCTGCTTTTTAAGACAGGCAGGACTGAAATCTGGTCAGCTTTGAAATGAGTATACAACCCGCTACTTAGAACTTGATTATGATTACTTGTCTAGAAAGAAGAGCCAACTTAAAATTGACAATTAGGGTCGTTTCTATTAACATTACAGACGACTGATTTAGAAACCCACCAGCGAAAGGATTTGAAATAAGCAAAAGGATTAACTTGTTCCGACTAGACTACGCTTATGAGAGGATTTTGGTTAATTAAATAAGCTTTTGCTTGGCGAACCTTTGTAGTTTCCTTATAAACACCAGGGAGACAGTTTTATGATTATGTACGCTATTTGCTTATTGGATTGAGATGATACACAGAACAAATTTTGATATTTTGGAATAATAAATAGGTTAAAACCTACTTGTTGTTTTAAATGATAATAGCAATTCTTATTAGATTGAAAGTCCTCAGATACGCTTTTAATAAAAAAGGAGAAAGTTTATGCGAGATAGCTAACTATGCTTCTTGAAAATATATACTAAGATTAGGTGAAATAGGTTCTCCTCAAGAAGCTTCACACAATCCAGGTACCACAGTAGCCCGCTTCGGGTATCAAAGCGACAATGTATCTATAGAACCATTGTGATCATATTTAGATAGCAAAAAACAGTATCCCAAAGTTTAAAATAAAGAAACAATAGTTAGAAAAGTTCTTTCATTAACTACATATAGAACGCTAATGTGCAAGAATATCCAGGATGTGCTTAAATGGCCAGTTAGACTGAATCGCTAGAAAGACAAAAGAGTAAATTGGGGATTTAACGACTTCGTCCGAGTACTTTCGGTGTAGAATTTGAACATTGGCACAAGAATGGACCCTAATAGTAGTCCTAGTCTCCTGTACTTCGGCTAGTATTCAAGTATGACTGGTAATATTCAACTTAGAAAATCAGGGTGATACTCAAATACTTGTTTCAGCATCCGAAAAAGTGGTACATATAGGTACGACCGAGGGTACGAAGAGTTCTTCACTCGCGAAATGTTCTCATATGGTCACACATCTACATATATATACCTACTGGCACGGAAGTCCTAATAACTACCTTGTTGATTACGAAATAAAAAGGATGAAAAAAGAATGTCTAGTGCTTAAACCAGGTTGGTGGATACAGAGCATACAACTAATAAAGTTGGAAAACTCTGATTCCAAACCATCGGTTCACATGCAATTCAAGATCCTGAGAAATCGAATGGAGTATGGACCTATTGTCGAACCCTCACTACCATGAAAACCCAACTCCAAACATTTCCCCACTACCTGGTGGATTAAAACTCTGGTTTAGAGATTCGACGTCGGCCTCCTAAGAAAACCACTTGATTTGGTTTAAGCACTCGAACAGTATTCTGCCCCACACATAGGTTCAACGATTTGTGTGGCACATACATATTTTAGTGCCCGATTGTACCAGTGTTTGCTTTCAATAAACAAATAAATACAGCATTGTTACTTGGATAACACACACTGATACATAAACCACAGTTCGGATACATTTTACACTAAACGATTCATATTACAAATCGGTCTCAATATTTGAATATGATTGGACAATTGTTTGGTAATGGGTTGTTTTCCTGACCTTATACATTTTTCGTAATTTTAATTTCAATTACTTATCTGACCAAAAGAATCCTTTATGACTGTATTTTCCTCTACTGAACAGCTCCTCTCACTATATATGTCTCGTTTACTTATTTTCAGTAATTTGTCGCTTTTGATTATACTCACCCTCCATCTTATAACTTCTTTAGTCTTATTTCCTTATTATGTGGTGCATATTTGTTTTGGTCATTTGTACCAATACTTATGTATTCAAATAAATGAAACAGCATAGAGCGGAATGACTTGTACGGCTAATCGATTGGGCTACAGCTGAAATCCATTAGTAGGAGTGATTTTGTAAGGTGGCTAGACTATAGGGTTGGTTGCACATTGCCTAATACCTGAGTAAACATGCTAAAAGATTTATTAGGCAAGCATATTGTATAGGAAATGCTTCCTGCTTTGATTACGATGAATTGTTTTTAAGAAAAATGAACTTAAAAACGCGTTAAGCGAAAGAATATTTATTTTCTATCAGTTCCTTGCTAAGACTCTACATTAACACATACTTTACACTTAAGAATGAAAACAATATAAAATAAATGGTCGTTGATCGATCTGAAAATGTATTAGTATTTTCTCCAGAAGCACCAATCATATAAAAACTCAACAGATGCAAAATCAAACCTAAAGTTTACGTAGTTAGTAATCTTAACTTTAGATTTAATTTTCCACCCATTGTTTTTAAATGATTGGCATTTCTAGAGAAAATATCGGCACACTCTCAAACTGACCGACGGCCACTTATTTATTATTGATTTTATTCTTAATCATAAAAATTACACAGTGTAGTCTTGATGAGGAACTAACTGAAAAGAAATAATTCTCCACACTTGTCTTAAACATATGAATGAGAGACAAATTTTACAATAAAACGTACCAAGTATGAAAGCATATGTGTTCGGTAGCGTTCGTGAGGCATAAAACGCCAAGTGGAACTGACTGCAGCAGATTATGAGAAGACGTATGCATACATGTTTACCGAAGACTTTCTTCACGCAATGTGAGAAATTGATCAAACTCAGGGCCATTATTAATCCTAAGCATATTCTAACTAAGCAATAAGGTTAGAAATATGTACTACCAATGTACTGGGAAATGAACTTCTGCATTCCTAACAACGTGTTTACGTAGAGTAGCGGCGATACAATCGAGGCAACAGACAAGCAACCCAGGAACGACCTCGGTACAACACCTGGAAAATAGTTATGATCGTACTGTAGTTTCAACGTAGAATAATATCTTGTAAACACACCATAGTTATGTTAGTTCGCAAGTAGAGCAAGTCGTGTAAGGCTTGCATGCCGAAGCTTTCCTCAACTTTTGTGTAAGGACAGATAATAACCACAGTAATGACGTACACAGCAAAGAGAATTCCGATATTCTCCATTTTGAAAAGTGACATTCAATCGTTGATGAGTACGGTATTGTTAAGACGGCAGTGACTGAAAAACAAACCTGCAATAAAATAAATATAGAAGAACAAAAATATAAGCCAAACTCCGACTCAATACGTGAAGTCTACACATATTTAATAACTATGGAGGTAAATCCCGCAAACATTATGAGTATACTGGAATCGTAATTACTTGTGGACCACAACGACCTTGAAGACCAGAACAGGCAAGGTTTAAACGTTAGGTCCTTTTGAAATGTGCCCGCCCTTTCGTTTCAACGACCTTGAACGGCTTGATTAGAGGCGGTCATTCCGTATTTCAATTGCCGTGGGTTGGTTGGATTGCATGAGTACCAAGTTTTTTCATATATAAGTCATGTTATGCTACATAAAAAAGCACGAAATAAATACCAAAACCATTAATTTAGCGTTCTCTGTTTTGTAGTGTACACGTTGGCTCTGTTGTTGCTTTGTAATTTGATCTTTGATCCCAACAACTGTAGTAAAGCTCAACGAAATGTCAAGTCACAGGTAAATCCTAAGTATTTGTAGTATTTTCTTGGGTTATTATTGTCGCAAGGAATAACCTTTTAATAATTAGTCATTTCTGTTTTTAGTGCTTCATGCTCAAGTGACATTTCAGTCGACCTAACCGATGCCTTTCGAAGTATGATACTGAACAAGCGTTTCGTCTTGTGGGATGATTTTGAAAGCGCCTTAAAAGAGTTCCAAAAAGTATGGAATTATAGTTTTATCGCTTCTCAGACTACTTATACTCGTTACATCCACACAGAAAGCAGATTGCTGAAGGATGTCAGGTTCAAATACCTGTTTGTATCGTTTAATTGTACGTTTGGTCATCAGCGGAAATCGGAAGGTTTGAAAGTGAGGCAAAAATCGTAAGATCTGTAACTAATATCTTATGTTTAAGGTCTAAATTCCGTAATTGTCGATCTAAATTTCGTGTAAGACTAGAGGAGCAAGGATATGTCATCAAATCCTACAACATGCTCCACAATCATCCATGTAGTAGTTCATGGATGGTATGTGATCCATTGACAAGGAGATTATCGTCAGAAGAAAAAGAGAACTTGAAGCCCGTAATACTTCACTGTGAGTCAGCAGATGCTCCACAGCGTCTTACACCCCTGCTAAACATTTTGACCCCATTCGCTAGATCTAAATTGTTATACGAACTTAAACAAATGCGTTTTGTCTACGTGGAATATGAAAGCGGTGATTGGTTGTTTATGGTTGATCGCGGACAACATTATGAAGTTGATATAAGCATTTGTCAATGCAATTGTAGCACGTTTATGATGTGCCGATATCCCTGCCGTCACATGCTACTTGCCTACGTTAAAAGACGAAATCTTACAGGTAAGCTATATCAATTATGAAATACTAACTGCATAGCTCATCAACTTCTTAGGTATTGTAGCAGATGGAAGTTACATAATACCCAGAACTTCCAAAATTATACATTAACTGCATTAACACGACGGAGTGAAGTGTATATAAGTATTCAACGAAGTCAAAGAATCCATAAGCAACGCATCATTGAGAAGTATGGTGAACGTTTCGCAACGGAAGTTGAGAAGAAGGTGGACAATTATTACTTAAAAATTCTTAATACTAACTTGTAAACTTGATTTTCTGCTTTAGCAGCAATGATTATTCAATAAACTGTCATAATTTTAATTTTCATCTTATTCCTAGTTTCATGGGAATAAATAGCAATGACGTTCATGTGTAACTGTTTGTAATAATTAAGAATGATTCAGAAACCCTACATCCACGTACAATCTTGCAGATTAGGCACCCACATATCATATTCTCCTTCGTCGGATTACGTTTATAATTAAAATCGTATCAGTAGCTAAGATTTTAATTCCATGTGATTAGTTCCGCTTATGAATTAAAATGAAACCAGGATAAATGTTGATTAACAGTGGTATGCATTCGTTATAACTAAATATGCATTAGGATTTAACAGTGATGTGGGAAACAGTTGACATACCTTAATATGAATAATTGAAATGACGTGGGTTATCAATAATGACTAGATATATATATATATATATGCAGTTTAAGGTCAAAGGTCATTTGTTTTTACAGTCAATAACACATTAAGAATGGGTGGTGTAATAGTGGACTGGAGTTCACAGACAGATAAGTGGTGTGAAAATCTTATGGCCTATAAGTGATCCGTGGATTTAAGAACTGAAAACTTGGGTCACGTAATAACTTATTACAATTTGAAGAGGTCACATAATTACAGAGGATTAAGTGAGCAGATGTAAGTGACAGGGTGCTGGAATAAATCGGCAACTAAATTTTAAAAGTGAAATGAATTAATACATAATCCATCTTATTACTTGTTCACTCCATGGATTATAAGGAGTTCATATTATTCTATATCTATATTTGTTCTAGCGTCATATCGACTATTAATAAAGACGGACACGGTTTATAAAGTAAGACAATAAGTGTAGTTGCTATATTTATATTTCACTAATTCATTAGTTGAATAAAAATGTTACTAGGCAATACGGAACACAGTTAACGTGAACATGTAAACCGTTTTTTAACAAATTCTGTAAGTTGTAGACCGGCGTAAACATCACAAACCTTTGACGACTTTATTGGATTCATACAATTCTGAAAAACAAACAAATCAGTTGTGAAATAAAGAATTAGACCTAGTTATAAGTATCACATTCAATAAGTACATCAAATAGCAGGTTACAGAATGTACCTATAAGTCTCTTATTTGCAGACAGCGCTAATCATTAGAGATTTCTATTTCCTTTAATAATAATTAATAGGTAATCTTTACAACACACAAATCAATGTTATTTAAAAATTGCTGAAATCAGTTTCGTCACAACAAAGAAGCGTGGTCTGAATTATGAAGAAAATGTTATTCATTAATGTGGCATAAACGAGATATGAATACAAGGAACTTGTGATTCTGCTTCCATTGCTCATTCACTTTTCGTCCCGTTGTCTGCATGAATTACTTCGGACGAGTCAGTCTGTAATACAGTAGGAATTCATGAATTAACTCATGAATAGTTGTTTTTTATTCAAGTCTGTGTCGTAACAAGCACTGGGAATTTATTCAGTGTCTAACCCTTGTATTATTTCGTACATACATCTGGTATTAGCAAGAAAAATTGGTAAGTACCATTTAGATATTACTCGACAACATGCATCATAAGTTTGTTCACATTTTCGTCTGAGACTGTGCATTTCGTTTACAGAAAATTATTCGTCAACCCTATAACAGACACATCATGAATCAATATTAAGTACGACATGGTTTTGTCACCATGCTCAGAAGAGACAGCCATCGTTTCACTTATGAAGATTTTGTGCCTGTTTAATGTGGTGTTATACACTGTTCCTGTATACGTTCAGAAAGCCGGTAAAAAAGACTATCAACACCAATTCTTACTCACATAATTTTTCTCTGATACGTTACACAATAATATGTCACTTCAATACCAAACAATGCTACCTTTAGTGCAAATAACCTTTTATGGCTAAATACAAACAATTTATATAATATCCATAGTTAGTTTAATGCTTACTTCTTTCTGATAACATCTTATAAACGACTGCGAACATCTATGTTTGCTGTCACCATAATCAAGGAGGTGAACCATATATGATGCTTTTCACGGCTTATTTTCATGAAAAGTCAATCTGTTTTCTATTTTTCACTAGAAAAATGGTGATTTGACTTGTTTGACCTTGTATTATTAAAAAATAACCATATTACGCCAACTGCATGTTTACTTAGGTGGTGAGCACAAAATACGTCAAACTGCTTATAAATTGAAATAAATACTATCTTCCAATCACAAAGATTACGAGAAGTCACGTATGATGGAAAAAAGGCTGTTAATAGCTGATAAATAACGAAATATAAAATCCACGACAATATGTTACATGTGCGCGAAAACCCGTAAACTAACACGCATAGTGTGCCTCAGAATATGCCCTTCACATACGGAATAACCGCCGTTTATCGGGAACTCAAGGTCACGGAGGCAAAGAGGGACATTTGAGCTATCTACTGTGCCGAAGGTAAGCTGGTTAAAACATTTGCTTTGGAAATTGCTGATTATATGCATCAATATGTGTGTATCGGGTTTCGATACTTGTTGGTTGTTTGCCGAGCCGGATAATTTGTCAGCATTTCATTCATTTCCCATTGAATCATAAACGAATGGAATCCATTATCTTAGCACATGATCAAAGCTCCATCTGTCTACGGTTTCAGCAGAAATCTAGATCAACTGACAGACCACCATTGCTAAGACCAATGCAGGCCACCTAGGCTGCTGTACTTTTCAAACCGGAACGTTTCAATCCTCCGACCTCGGGGTCTGATCTTGACCATGGTCTACAAATCCCAAGCTCCCAATTTTGGGGAAAATTTGACCCACTTTTAGAAATTTTGGGGAAACCGCTATAGTAAGCTTGGGGGAAATGGCACAAGACCCCAAAACGTTGTAGTTTTTCCCCAAAGTTGGGAGCTTGGGATTCTGCTCTTCCTGGAGAGATTTCGCCTAAATAGTCGACACCACAGGTGAAAAACCGATTTTTAGCCTTTATTTCCTCCAAAATCTAAACTCCCCTAAAATTCGCTTTGATTTTACCATTGTTGGTTTGCTGGGCAGTGATAAGGTCTGTTGACGTGGGTTAATCCTCGCAGCATTTATTCGATTGGAATTCTAGTTTTTTTTAAACTGTTCACTGGTAGACTGATGGCATGTATCCGGTTAGGGTGTTCTAATGGTTGGCCACACACAAACAGACAGTGAAATATTCGTCTTTTTGAAGACGGAATCGCACTGTGAGTTTATTTTTTCTCGGTTTTTAAACCCTTATTAGGATTCAAATACCGATGACTCTCAATAAGCTTCAAAGTTTGGGAAAACGTCATGGTATTTCCCGAACCAGGGGAAATTCTAGGGGTTTTAGTCTCATTTCCTCAAAGTTTCTCATTGGCGCTCTCCAAAAACTAAGAATATTTTCCTTAAAATTGGGAGAGCTTCATAAGACCTAACTGAAATACCTTATCCGATATCTTTCCGAAATCCATAAATATCATATCGACAGATGAATCACTATTTTGGGCTGCTATCCAACCCTTTCTCAGACTTTGTAAGTTAATTAAGCATGAGCTTTCTGAAGCACGAGTTTATCAGGTGTTAAAATTTGTGATACTACGTGGTTTAATTACTTCGCACGAATTTTTTTTTCAAACACATTAGCTACCCTACTAGTTATGCTAGCAGGTCAGTGGTTAAACACAATCTGTTGCTTTCCACACTTAAATACAGGGTTCTGAAGTCGTGTCCTGGAGGGACGACACCAATTATAAATATAACCTGTCAGGGTCTGGGGACTTATCAGTTTTAAGGCTACTAGGTAGAAACAGCTATCTTAGCTAAAAGCAACGGCCCTTTAGTTGCCTCAACATTGAGGAGTAATCCTCACTGAAACAGTTTGATAAACTAACTGTGATCATATTTGGTTCAGTTAGTGTGTCTTCATTCTCGTGCAACTGTAATAGATGGATCCTGTCACTGCATTGTCCCCATGTCAATATGTGAGAAAGAATGTTTCGCACGAGTACGGCTACCCTGCGCCAACTGCCTTTCATAAGAAGTGAAAGTTCTAGAGATAGTCATTTTACACATACTCCAGATCTTCCGGTACCCACACTTAAGTGATTCGTCACCCTTTTGTTAAAAGTGAGTCACAAAAGTGTTTTCTACGCCACAGTAACTATCGGATTTCCTTATCAATCCATGGAGGTAGATGTAATAGCTTACATAGAGTTTAAGATGTGGTAAATGGTTTTGCCACATCTTATAGAATGGCTTTAAACTTACCTCTTCATGTTCAATCAAATTATCTATACTGATTAGCCAGTTTTTCGAGATAGCACAATCTCTGATCCTTTGAATGTTTGCCCACCGGATATTGGGACGGGGTAGAACAGATTCATATGTATACTGTTTTTTAAACCTAAAATACAATGCAATTCGATCACTGTTTTCCACTGAGGATAGTGGGTAAATTTTAGTTACACCATAATGGTGAGTGGGCCCCCAAATGCCGTGGTACGGCCGAGGGTAACGAGAGTCAGCTCACCCCCTCGAAATGCTCTCACATGACCACGCGTATACAGCGATTGACAGGGAAGTCCCACTCACTACCTTCCCGTGGATGTGTTGTTTGCGAACTTAAGAGGACGAAAAGCAAATGTCCGGCACCTTAACTTGGTTGGTGGATATGAAAGATCGATCCAGGGGAGTTGGAAAACCCTGATTCCAAACCAACGGTGCATATGGGCTCCAGGATTCTGAGGAAACAAATGGCATATGGACCAATCGTTGATGACCGGCTACTATGAGACTGCATCTCATGATGCTGCTCCGCTGCCTTGTAGATTAGATCTGTAGGTCAAAAGCTCCGGGTGTGACCTCTTAAGCAAACCACCGGCTCCGATCTAGGCACTCGGGCAGTATCACAGTCCGCACACAAATTAATGATAACTGCTACTGGCCTCAATGTTATTGTGTGGCGCATATGTATTTGGTGCCTCCTTGTACCAGTGTTTATGTGTTAAAATAAATAAATAATGAGTGGAGACAAGGTCCAGCACTGGTGGCCCATTTTTTTAAGTTAAAATATGCTGGTTTTGTGATACATTGTTATAATGCACATCGTTGATTAATTGATAGTAGGTTGCCGTCGAAACATTCACTTGAAGTTGCTAGTTCTGATAAATTGATTTGCTACCCTGAAATTCCTGATGCTGAAACAGCAATTAAGCTAATTATAAATACATAAATGTGTACCAAAATCAAACTTCAGCCAGTGATTGTCGAGGTAACAGACGTATAAACAACTGTTTTAAAAATATCTCTAAAAGCGTTAACTGTGGGTTTAAATTTAAGCTTTTGGTAAGATAAGCGTAACAGAAAATAAATAATTTAAAACATGGGATAGTTTATTGCTTTTTGAAATCGTGCTATTTTGAGTAGAGCGTTTACGTTATAGTAAAAGGGTAAAGGGCTCATTATTGTTCTCTGGAGGCTTCACTGTTCACAGTTTTGTATGATGTCGAATTGGTGTTCACTCTCAGTGGTTAAGTCGTTCGGCTTTCAGTCACTATGTTGTGGCTTCGAACTCCGCGCCTTTCATTTCTGTTTGGGCAACTGGGTAGTTTCTCTGACTCACACTTAAAGTGTGGCTCAAAGCCTTGTTCACGAATCTGTATATGGTCATTTGAAATTATCGATCAACGCCTTCACATGTTGTTTCCAGTCACTAGGAAAGTGGTTGATCCAATCCATAACAGTCAACGCTGGAGTCTTGCTGGTCCACTCTAAGACGCATCTGAGATGCCTTATCGAAGACTATACTAAAATCGTTCATAGTTGAATTCACTGGAATACCTTGTACACTAGCCTGTAGAGATGTTCAGTCTACTGATATTATCAATCCGTTTTCATCATTGGCAGTATTATCACATCGCTAATTCTTCCTTAACCCTATTATTTTCACTTTAATTATCCTCTCAAGAATTATGAATCAGCTTGAGCAAGATTTGAGGACTAAACCGATTTGCCTAATTGTCCTTGGTATGGCTGGTTCAGGCAAAACGACATTTGTAAAGAAGCTAACTGAGTATTTAACAGTTTCATCAAATTCGTCGTATACAATTAATTTAGACCCAGCAGTTTATCATATTCCGTACAATCCTAACATTGGTAAGCCTCAGTTTACTGGTAATGTTTAAAGATATTCGCGATACTGTCAAGTTTAAAGAGGTTATGAAACAATATGGTTATGGACCAAATGGAGCTATTATGACATCGTTGAATTTCTTCGCCTCACAATTTCATAAAGTTGTGGATATAATTAACAGCAACTCCGGAAAGGTTTCCTATGTAATAATCGATACACCTGGACAGATTGAAGTGTTCACATGGTCTGCTTCAGGAACTATTATTACAGAACTGTTAGTAAGTTGAATTTTATATTTGTTAGTAAAGGTTTATATTTAGGGCAATTCTTTTCCTACTCTAATTATATACGTAATGGATACTCCACGAAGCCACAATCCTATCACATTCATGTCTAATATGCTCTATGCTTGCAGTGTATTGTATAAAATGCGACTTCCGTTTATATTAGTTCTCAATAAAGTAAGTACTGTATAATTGCTGTTGGATTTTTTAAATCTTTATTTGACCTACCTTATGTATCTATTACTATGATTCTTTGTTTACCAAATATTACTTTGATTTTGTTTGTTAACTATAAGATGCTTCGCAAAACTTCTATCTTCGCTTCTAATCATTTAAACTGAATATTTTATTCAAGTGATGTATCTAACTAGACAATAAGATAATGTTAGCGCCGTAAAGCTTAATGTTCTCCAATTCTATTGGGCACATATAACACAACTTTCTGTATAGAGTTCTCAATGCAACTCCATAAGGTATAAGTTGATGAATGTTAACGATGAATTCGATTATTATTTATGTTCCTTTGGCTGTTCTGTTAATTGGAGATATAGTTCAGTGGTTTTAATACTCAATTACTAATCATGATACTATCTGTTCAGACTGTCCTCCCTTACTTTAGTCCCGATCGTTGCTTCTACCTTGATGTGGTGGTCGGGCCTGCCTATCGTGCTGAACCATTCGGGTTATACTGGCTGGAACGATCATTCCTCAAGACTCTATCATGCCAAGCAAGTCGGTTGAAGAGTGGTAAAACTAAAAGCAGCAAACCCAAGATCCGAGGGCGAAGTCGTACTGTTGACTGTACAGATGTGTGACGGCGGTAAGGTGTTTCCCTCAGACAAACAGCATAGCAGCAATGTTGAGTTCCCCCAAAGGAGGGGTGGGGTTAGAAGTGGTCGATTTTAAAAATGCACACCTCGCCTTATTCCATGGATTTCCGTCTCCGGCGGTAAGGTCTCAGTATATACTAAGCTAACACAAAAACTACCTACAAAATGGTCGTGTGTGACCGGCCTCAAGCAGCTGTTCCTTGAACATTACGGTTACGCTCTCAAATCACTAAGACGAACTCTAACCGAATTTCCTTTTCTGGTACTTATAGAAGAACCCTTCTACGATGTGGGTAATCAGGATGTGGTAACCACCTTCATACCTCCAACAACACTCAAGACCAATTTCCTCCTCCTTACTTTAGTATAAATGTTTGAATGATGTCATTATCTCTCACTTAGGTAGGTTCACATCAAAGTCTAGTAAATAAATTCCTAAAAAGCTGCAAACTTAGTTTATTGGGATATTACTCACTGCTAATAATCTAACACTGTAAACATGCATTGAGTAATTTAGGTGAACTACAAAAAATACATAATAGTCATTTTTCTTTCTGATAGTACGAATACTGGTTATCTTGTATCGCTCAGGAAATTGCTTTCTCATCTTCAAATAAAATAACTTCGTCGTCTATGTCCTACACATGTCAAATTTCCGTAGTATATCAGTTCCTGAAAACGAAGTGTAAGAGAATTCTTTCCTTTCTAAATGCAGAAGTGAATCGTTGGAGATTTAGTCCGTTCACTTGGGAAAATGCTCTGTTCTCCTCGTCGAAACTAACATGATGAAAAAAATGCTTTCTTGTTTCGTAACAGAAGTGCGCGATAAATAGAATGTACAAGTTTTCTGTCATTATTTATGAGCTCTTTAGCTGACAATGTTAAAAATTGCTCCTACTTAACATAGCAATAAAGCAAATTTAAGTAAAACAGAACTAAGTATTTATAGATGTATTTGCCACTTAATTTTAGATATAAGAGTGTCTTGTGACTGGTTCAGATTGCATAAAAAATTGCATAGTTTATTGTCAGATGATAACCAGGGCATTGGTCTAATTCTTAGATTTAGCTAATGAGAATCATTTTATCACGGAATCCAATATAATTGCTAATCCCGTGAATGACAATACAACATTCAACTATTTGGTCGTTATATTTTCGAAAGAGATTAATGTAGCCAGTAATTCACCCTTCTTGCTTGTGCAAATACTTCAGAACCTTATATACCTATTAGTTCTATGGAGAAATAACAACGGACTTAAATGTATCAATGCTGAGGATGGACTTGATAGTCTCAAATACATTAAGCATTTGGTAGAAAGTTAATTATATATATTTCAACAGTAACATCTTTTACTATAACGTTGAGCGATACAGATTTAAGTATCTAAGTGAATACATATTTGATGTAGGAGGTTCCTATTTGTCTTGTTGATGGGTGTCCATACTTATGAAATCTGGTTCTATCAAATACTGTTGACTCTCTACAAAATCAAGTGTAATTAAGTCACATTTCTGTCCACCCCTATTTCCGAATGTAAATGGGATTGTGTATTTTATAGGTTCACCAATGATTACCGTTGTAATTGTTATTTTCGTAAAATATTCGTATGAACTGAGGTATAAATAAGGGACTAAAATTTTTTTTGCATTTTACCTTTTTCACTTTTTTTGTAAGACTGACATTATAGACTGTGATTTCGCCATTCAATGGATGAGGGACTTTGAAGCATTTCAAGATGCTCTAGCTGGTCATCAATCAACTGATGGACCATCTGAAATGGAAGGTGATAATCCTTGTCCTGGGACATCACCATACATGAATAGTCTGGTTCATTCTATGTCATTAGTGTTAGATGAATTCTATAGTACTTTGCGTTGTTGTGGTATCTCGTCGATAACTGGTGAAGGCATGAAAAAGTTTGTGGAAGAGATTGATGAAGCGAAAGAAGAATACTTTAAGGTTTGTGATAGTTTCTTACATAAATAATTTTGTGTTTATAGGTAATAATTAGTTGTTTCAAAGTATTATCACACTGTTACTTTGTAAAATGACTATTACTGATCATTGTTGAGAACAGGCTTTGATCTATTATCATTATCTGAAGTCTCAAGATGGAAGAGAGCACCTTTAATTTTGCCTTTTTATCACAAATTAGTTATATTGGCAACGGGGAAGTGACAGCAATGCTTATAACAACGCCCAAACTCTCCTTGTTCGTGATCTAATCCCCTCTTCGTTTCGTAGTATTTTTCCTTTCCTTACTATCATCCCTTCTGCAACTTCGCCTTTTTTCTGTACGACACCATTTCTGACGATTCAAACCCACGAAATCCTCTTCTTCGTCTCAAAACTACATATTCGAGCTTTCAGTGTGCGAGCCTCATGTCAAGTCAAACAGGCTTCATAAGCTAGGAATCTAGAATCTCCGCCACTGACAAATGCGGTATCTCCCAAACTTAGATATAGAATCCCAGTGTGGCCATTCATTTGACTCATCTTGGTAGGTAAACTCCAGAAATTTTTAAGGATGTTGGTCCATTCTAAGCAGCTAAACTGTCTGGGATACTAGCTAGAGTTTGGGAGCCGGACATAATCTCACTGGATTGAACTCAACCACGGATTGTCCCAGTCCACGAGAGATAATAGAAATTATTTCATGGTAACCACAGATCAATCAGTTTTACTAATAGATTATCTACAGTATTACGCTTGATAACCATCCGACGCTTTTCTGAGTCTCTGTAATCACATGCTTCTGGAGACTAGTCTGTTTTTCGGCCTGAGCGTAAATATATCAATCGAATTTTCAACTTTCGTCAGATTTTGAGGCACAATCCTACTTCCCAACTCCAGACTATAATTATATCCGTTGATCTTAAGATTACATTCGACTTCGTCGAGTGCATGATTTCATCTGTGTTCATTATTAAAATTTGTAACTAAAAAAATACCTAGACTTTTTAATTGCTTTCTAACTAAATACTTGATCGAGTCAGCGCCTATAGCAAACTATCATCGGAATCGCCAACCTCAAACGGTGTTCGTCAGTATTATCCACTATTTACCTATTCACTTAATTTTGTCGTAAATTTCCTTCCAGAACTAAAACCTTATTCATATATTTTTTTCAGGAATTGATCTCTCTCCTCTAAACTCACTAATCCACCTGGAGTACAGAGCTAACATAGTATTTTTTAATGAAAACGTTACCATAATGCAAAATCTCTTGTATGCCTTAAATAGTGACGCAAGTATGATTTTAATGCTTTTCTCTCCATCCACTAAATGCAAAATTGTTGATTCAAGACTGATCTGTGTCGTCGCCAACATTTGATCCATAAGAGATAAAGTAGTTAGGTGCATTGATCCCGACACTTATTGCATCAACCTTTATTGCTCGCATCATAATTCATTAACTTTCAACGGATAAAGAGGGAAATTATTTGCTTACGTGATGTTATTTAAAATATTGCAGCTTTTATTTGATCCGCTCAAGATCATCTACCGTTGGCTTCAAAGTCTAGTTTTTCTGACAAAGATTATTGTTATTTGATGGATCATTGATACTACATTGTTTCAACCTCTTTTTCTATTCATATTGTTATTTTCACTCCATAGTGCTAATGTGATATGCCAAGTTGGGCCAATTCACATCTGTCCCTGGTTCTAAGTTGGTATTTGTTTCTGTTTGGATGAAGTGTTATTGTAGTAGTCTTCTTTTCATTTATATTCTGAAGATAGCAAAATTGATATCCCACTATTCTGAATACATTAGTAATAGACCCTCTTGCATTTTATGCAGTATTTTTCTTGTGTGTTCGTATTTCCACTCGAATTCCATAGTATTCGCTGTATACTATATTGTAATCTTCCTTATTACTCTTCCAAAACCTCTATTCACTTTTCTGTGGAAACGATAAAACAAACAGTTTATAACTGTGATGAGACGGCTTTTGTGCCTGTCGGAGATGATAAGGTTTAATTTGTTTTGGTATCTAAAGTCTAACTTGATAGTGTATGCTGAAAATGGTTATTTTTTTTATATGCATGACAGCTAGGTATCATAATTTTCAAGAGTTTGTCATTGCATCATAAGTCTTATTATCTTGTATTCATTCACAGATCAATCTTCCGAGTTTGTATGCTAAGCAAGAAAAAAACAAGCAGGATTCAAGTGGTAAGTTAGTATTTTATATATACATATATCTTATGCAGTAAACTGTGGACTATACATACCGTATAAGATTTGAACACGCGACTCAACGTACTAATCAATTCCAGTGAAACATGATTCGACACCGTAACTTAGGGATCTAAATTGACGTTATAGTTGTACTATTCAAATAATATGATAAAGATCTATAAAATCTAATCAATATTATACATTTTTCCTGAGGGTTATATGACTAAGTTAATGTGTAAAACTATTCACTCCTTATCAGATTATTATGGAACTGGCATTCGATCTGGACTATGAAGGACTTGACACACATGGCATTGATCACCACCCAGTGATCAATCAATTGTGAATACATCTCAGTCCTACAGGAGGCCGGTCGCGGCCCGAATAGCCTAGTAGTAACTCCTCTGACTATGAAGCTGGGTGACACGGGGACGAATCCGTTCCAGTCCCCTCAAGATTACAGGTACACCTTGCTGACCGACGAGTGACAAATAGCACTAAATCCGGGTCCAGGGTTTCCTGTTGACTACCTCCAACCACCATCTTATCTCAACATAGTGCACGCAATGTTGAGTCACCTAAACTAGTGGCTACATTGCGACTTGGTTGATAACATTCGATCTACACTAATAAGGACTTGACACACATGACATTGGTCACCACCCAGTGATCAATCACAATTGTGAATACTAGTACCGTGCTTCAATTATTAATATTTCAAATCTATTTAACAAAAATTGGTTTTGAGTTATAACTTATCGGATTTTTATGTTTGTTTTGCATTCAGATAAATCTAGTAAGTCTCATTCATCCAAACATGGATCAATGCTTTTGGATTTGGCTGGTAATGATGACGAAGCTGAAAATGATCCGCTACCTGATGTTGATGGTATAGAAATTCGTCCACACAGTGATTCAGATGATAACGATGATGATGATGAATTTTTAGAATCAAAAGATCTCACATCTATTCAAAGTAGGTTTCAGTTAACTAATCAAAATTTTAAATGATAACAAAGCGCTTAATCTTAAAAAAGTTCATTCTGAGGAGATTGTCTATCAAGTTATGAGATTTCATATTGTGCCACTTATTTACTCTCATATTTGTTATAATCCATTGTTTTATGTTAATCGAAGCGCCCCCAAATGCCTTGGTACGACCGAGAGTGGGGAGAGTCCGTTCTCCCTCTCGAAATACTCTCACACGGCCACGCGTATATAGCCTCTGCCAGGGAAGTCCCACTCATTGCCTTCTCGTGGCGGGGGTGTTGTTTACGAAAATGAGAGGACGAAAAGCAAATGTCCGGCGCTTTAACCGGATCCCAAACCAAATCAGTGGTGCACATGGGCTCCAGTATCCTGCGGGAACAAATGGCGTATGAACCAATTGTTGGTCACCGGCTACCATGGGACTGCATCTTCGTACGTTGCTCTTCTGCCTTGTGGATCAGACCTTCAGGTTAAAGGCTCGGGGAGTGGCCCTCTAAGATAACCACCTGTTCCGGTTTGGGCACCCGGGCAGTATCACATCCCTCACACATATCGAATGAGATTTGTGTGGTGCATATGTATTTGGTGCCTTCTTGTACCAATATCTGTGTGTTAAAATAAAATAATGATCGAAGCTATTCTACAGTACTACTGTGTTGTCATCCGAAAATTTTAATATGGAATTTATCGTCAACAAGCTTCCTTCTATAATACACATAGATTTTAATTAGTTGTAATATGTGTAATCTCATGGTCGGATAGATTTTCTGCTTATTTAGAGATTGTTTCTTTGAGATATTTCAATCTCATATATAGAAACATCTTAATCCCTTGCCAAATTTCCTTATGAATTCACATTTTTCAACTGCTTGTTTCTTCCTCTACTTGGTTGTATGTTGTTGAATAAATAATAAATCAAGAGTAAGGCAAATATAATACATGACACTAAGTGATAAAGCACATACTAGAGTTGAGAATGTAAGACGGTGGGCCTGGACAGTAGTTTAGAAATTGATGTCTTTACCAATAATCACTCCTTAGCCCTATTATATTCCAATGTAACAAACAGGACAACCGGTGTGATGTTCAATTGTGCCTACCTATTTGGAAAATTTTGTTTATTTATTTAAACATATAAATACTGGTATAAATACACACCAAAATGTATATGCACCACACAAATCATTGAATTTATGTGTGAGCTGGAATACTGCTCAAGTGTCTAAACCAAAATAGGAGGTTTTCTTAGGGGACCATCACTCAGTTTCTAACCCAGGGATCTGATCCACAAGTTAGTGAAGCGATGTTAAGAGGTGCAGTTTCATGACACCCAGGGACCAACAATCAGTATTCGATCTCTCAGGATCCTGAAGTTCATGTGAACCGTTAGTTTGGAATCAGAGTATTCCAACTCCCTTAGATGTACTCTCCATATCCACCAACCTGGTTTAAGCATTGGATATTCGCTTTTCGTCCTCTTAATCTCGTAAACAACAACTCCATGAGAAGGTAGTGAGTAGGACTCCCGTTTCAGTGGCTTTCTATATATGCGTTGCCACATGTGAGCATTTCAAGAAGGAGCAGACACTCTCCTCCCTCAGCCGTACCAGGGCATTCGGAAAACTCGGAGGCCTCAGTACTAGCGTTCCGCTGAATATTAAGGTGTTTTTTACCCGTTTGTAATAGAAAGCCTACCACAAAATGTGAGTTCTGTTTCCCAATTGATAACTAAATCGTCAGCCTCAAATTTGAAAATCATAATTTTGAAGTGTAGTATAAAAAAACATCATCACATACAAGAGTGCCCCCAAATGCCCTGGTACGGCCGAGAGTGAGGAAGGTCCTCTCTCCCTCTCGAAATGCTCTCACATGGCCACGCGTATATAGCCTTTGCCAGGGAAGTCCTACTCACTACCTTCTCATGGCGGGGGTTTTGTTTACGAAATTGAGAGGACGAAAGGAGAATATCCGGCGCTTTAATCGGATCCCAAACCAAATCAATGGTGCACATGGGCTCCAGTATCCTAAAGGAACAAATGGCGCATGAACAACCGGCTAACATGGGACTGCATCTCCTTACGATGCTCCACTGCCTCGTGAACCAGACCTTCAGGTCGAAAGCTCCGGGTGTGGCCCCCTAAGAAAACCACCTGCATCGGTTTGATCACCCGGGCAGTATCACAGCCCTCACACATATCGAATGAGCTTTCTGTGGTGCATATGTATTTGGTGCCTCCTTGTACCAATATCTATGTGTTAAAGTAAAATAAAAAACATACAAGAGAAACGGAGATTCGATTCTACCAAAAACAGGGCGTGTGAAACGTCTGAAATCATGGTATCACAATTTTCTTCATCCGTATAGGGTTGTCAAGATTATTAAGTTTTTAACTGAGATCATGAACCGATTGATGCTAGACCACCATTGAAAACCTGGAAGCACTTGACGGCCGTTTCGTCCTACCGTGGGGATCCTCATCAGTGCGTAAACACGGTACCGCTCGCTGGATTCGAACCCAGACCCTTCACTCTCGCGCGCAAATGCTTAACGATTAGACCACTGAGCCGGCATTCAACGGTGTTAATGTCTAATTTCAACCAATCTACGAAATTGCGCGACCATCTTCCATTGTTTAATATCAGTCGGTTCATGATCTCAGTCACAATTTTCCTAGTGTACGTTAAGCTGTAGATTTCAAGTTTACTGCTTCAAATGTTTATCTTAATTGCACGTTTGCTTTGTTCCAGAATTCATACCACTTAACTTTTTTCTGGTTAACGTTTTTTTAGCGAGTTAGTTTTCTACGGGATGGGGTCGCTTATTTCATGTCCAACCCTCCCCCTTTAACCGGACTTGGGAACCGGCAGTAGTCCTAGAGGGGCTACAGGCGGAGTTATACCATTTAATAGCAATACCTATAACATAAAACTTCAAATAGTAGTATTTATTATTATCATCATCATACTGATATGTTTGTTTATTTTGTTTAAATTTAGATAAATTTCAACAATCATGCTCTGTTGATCCTGTTCCTTCTATGAATTGTGAAAATTAATTCCTTCTATAAATGGAAATAATTATTTTGTACAAAATATAAATATTTTTTGTTGCTGAGATTCTAGCATTTTTATTATGATGAATGTTATTGAATAGAAAATGAAGAGAATTCAGCGAAGAAAAATTTTCTCTTCTCGACGAAAACATTCAGTTAATCTATACATTCGTATTTATGTCAATATATAATCATTGAGTCGGGATTATGTGGAAGTCCTACTCACTACTTTTTCACGGTGGGAGTGTTGTTCACGAAATCAAGAGGACGAAAAGAGAATGTCCAGTGCTTTAACCGGGTTGGTGGATATGGAGGGTTCACCTAGAGGAGTTGAAAAACCCTAATGCCAAATCAATGGTGCATATGGGTTCCACAATCTTGAGAAAATAAATGGTGTATGAACCAATCGTTGGTTACCGGCTACCATAGGACTACATCTCCGTACGTTGTTCTATTGCCTTGTGGATCAAACCTTTAGGTCGAGGGCTCCAAGTATGGCCCCCTAGAGAAAATACCTGCTTCGGTTTGGGCACCCGGGTAGTATTGTGGCCCTCGTAAAAATCGAATGTGGCGCATATCTATTTGTTGCCTCCTTGTTCCAATGTACGACGTTTACTGGTTAAATCTGTAAATTTTCTGGATCTGTGAAATCATTAGAGAATGCTTTCACGTAGATCAAAACATTTTTCACATTAATCAAAATTTCATGAAAATATTACTAAATAACAGAATATATCATAATCAACATGCTTAAAAACCTCCGGAGTTTACCTTCCAAGTTCTGCTTCCCCCCGTCGCTTTAAATTAGGCAACGCATTTTTAACCTAGCCAACAGTTTGTGGTCTTGTGTAGAGTTTCCATTCAGGTTGGAAGGGAATAGGAAGTAATCGAAGATTAGCTGGAAGCCAGCTGAGGTTTCTTGAAGTGTTTTTTTCATTGTTCCAGTTCCCTAGACTGAGATCGGGTCATAACTTTGTGTTTACCCCGAATAGTTCCACTAACAGCTGACTTATCAATACCTGACATTTCCGATGAATTAGAACAACTGTCTTGTGTGACCTGTAGTCTGTCTTATTTATCTCTCTTGCTTCCATCCCCAACTAACGCGCGCAGTCATAGTACAGATATTTTGTCAATTTATGTTTAAGTTTTCACTTCTTATCATTATCCAAGCATCCTTAGATATATTCGAGCGGCTGACAACATAGTAGAAATTCGCGAAATCCATTGGTCGTTCATAACTTTTCGATTTCAGTCACTGAGAGATATCACTGCTATTTTTACAACTGTTTGAATATCATGTCAAGCTATTTTGGGATAAGCACTAGTTTTGTGTTCGACTAAGTGCTGTTTTTCTGAAATATACTCGACCTTTTGATCGTTGAGGTGAATAAACAGCTGTCTAAGCATAGCTGTAGTAGATTGTTATCGTATTAAAAATTATTGTTCTTTAGACCTAATGTAGATTCATTATGAACTTCCATTTAATAGAGTTCTTTTTAAAAAAATTTCATATTTCTAAAGATAGTTGTCATGTCATATTAATATCATCTGAATAAATATCTATAATCAGGATGTACAACACAGACATTTCACTAAGTATACTGATAGCCTGCCATAAATGTTATCTGTAATCTATGCAACTCTCTGTACTCCAGGTTCTAGATGAAAATCATCAACCAATATGGTAAATAAATTATCTTAAAATTGTATTTACAAACCTAACCAAATAATGCCAAGTGTCCTGAGGAACTACTTCAAGTCTGACAGAATCTCATTAGGAATGGTTATCCGCCGATAATAAATTAACATTTAGACATCATCTGGAAGAGGCACCGACAGTGCAAAAGAAAATTTTTTATGAACATGGAGGTTAAAGGAGATACGATTGCTAAAATCTTGAATAAACGGATTTCAAAACCGTTGAATAAAACATTCTAGCTAGCTAAACTCCGAATTGTTTTCTCATTACCTTTATGTTTGTTGCTTTTCTTTATATCTGTCATTCGGACAATTATCTGACCCGTAAATTATCCCCATACTTCTACTTTTCTCTAACCCCCTGATTATTATGCAACCCCATCTGATACTTAGTTTCGAATCACTTTGTGATACAATCGTTTCTATCCTTCCTTAAACATATATAACTATAAATACGAATGTACAGCTTAAGTAAATGATTTCGTCAAAAAGGGAATTTTCTTCACTGAATTCTCTTTATTTTTATTCAATGACACAATGGGTTATTTCGATTAATGTCACCTTTTTTTATAAGTTTCAACGTTGATTTCAATAACACTTTGTCAAGAAATCTATACACGATAGTATCCTGGGTGAATTGCACACAACTAACACCTAGTTAATTAATAGGAGCATATATCTGCGATATGATCACTAATTACTCGTCGAGGTTGTATTGGTTATGGTATGTATATCATTGATAATAACGACCCTTACCGATAGGAAAACGTCATTGCACCGAAGTAATTATGTAGAAGAAACTGTGCTGAAGAGTATTTTATCCAATATACACGGACCTAAATAAACTAACCACTTTTTGGTCGCAATGTTCCTTATCAGATCGGTTAAATGTATTTGTTTACTAGTGAAAACACAATGATAATAAATAACGTAGCCGCATTCACCTTACAATCGAAAAAGTCAGGTCGGGAAACAGCAGGTGATATTTTGTTTACTCGTGACCGGCTGTCAAGTACTAAGTTAGTTGGAAGTTGTTTATCAGTTCGGCAATTTCCAAAAGTTCGTCTGATGCAATATAACTAAACTTAAGTTGATTTCCCGATGAAAAATCTCCATAAAAGCTTATTTCAAAGTCAACACATTAAACCAACAAGTGGATGTAAAGTTCTGCGTACTAAACAACCATTGTCAGAACATCGTACATTTAGATGACTTACCATATTCATAGCAATACGTTCGGTGTGTGTAATGCTACCTGTATTCTAAACGAAAGTAGGAGTTGACCAGTCACACACTCGTATTGAACAATTTTTGAAGACACGTTAAAGTCCCTTCCAAACTTGTTTATTAGACTGTACGAACACACATGTTGGTTTACTTTCCGATAATGTACAGCATTAATTTCTTGTTTAGAGATAATTTTACATTTATGGTTTGACCTTAGCTCCAAAGGTAGAGATTTAGTCAATTTCTAGTATCTAGACAGTTCGATTATGCGTACAACTGCTTTTTATTGATCGCGCCCTGAGCAGTAGGGTATTGATGAAAGAAGTTAAAACGAATTACGCACTACTGTTCGTAAAAATTTACTCGAACGAATGTCAACTACGTACCGCTAACTATAGGTGTGGACTGTTTTTTTTCTTCTGCAACCCACTAATTAACACCACTAGATGACTTTAAGAAAAAAACTTTCATTTCATATTCTATTCACACAACAAAAACATATGATTTACAAGTCTCAATTGTAAGAAGGAAGAACATCTGAGATCATGAATCTTGTAAGAATTGATACTGCTTACTGTAGACCTAAAATAGAGTTAAGCACGTGAACTACACCCAGAATCACAGGTTGCCATGCGACCAAATATCGTACCCAATCTAAGAGATTTCCGTATAGTAAATGTGGTTTATCCCATCTAATATTACAGAAATGTTAAGAACGTTAATCACGTAAAGTTTTACTACTACATTATTGTTTAATACTATAGACAAAATACTCACAGTATTATTCATAATTTTACTATGAACGAATACTTTAAAAGCTACTAGCACGAAGTGGAAAATTCTTCCCTTTAAGCCAGTTTTAATTTGCTATGTAATATCAGTACCTCCCACGTAGATGGACATAAAAAACAAACTCGTACATTTATTACAATCTCTTAGACAAGTGTTATGAAATAAGCCTGCGTTTAATACCATTCACACAAGTGATAATTTATCATGTTACGAGAGGAGAAATATTAATCCATGCGTTTATAATAAACCCCAATAAGCATATCCTTGTCGTATATGATTACAATTACAACTTTACTGAACTTATAAATTATTTAAAACAATTAGTCCTTTTGATAAATCTGGATAGTACAATAGGTTGGAAGAAAGCTAGGGGTGGCCAGATCAAAACATGGCACAAATCTATGAAGTCATTGACAAGTGGACTGAGCGATGTTTTTAGGTGTAGATTACCTGGTTGGGGACCGCGAGATGATAGCAACCGATGGTTAGGGACCTTGAATGACATGGCTCAAAATCGTTTGCAATGGCGCAAGTGCATCCACTCTCTGTGTTCTCCCAAATTCTAATCTGAATTCTTCATGTCCCTTTATTTTTTCTCTTTCCAAATTTATTTCACTGAATTAAACTCTTTGAATAACATCTTCAAACCCTAATGTCTCCGATTACTGCTTATACTTTTACTACCTCTACCACTATGGGGTTTGAATGAACAACTGTATCTCTGTGCTAATGTGGTATGACAGCTTGAAGTTCTATGTTGTTGCTGACTGACTGAAGATAAAGATTAACAAAACTATGTGATTTATCAACGAAATACATTTCAAACAATCTAATTACATATACACTTATTAAGAATATTCATATATGGAAAGAAAATCCAAGGTTAATTAGACAGATGTGAGGTAAGCGGAAACAAAGATAATGATCAAGAATAATAGTATGAAAAACAACGCGGAACTCATCACCCTGAATTATAAACTAATATTACCAAATTAGAGTAGATTAGGGGTGAAAACAAGCTGTTTTTGCATAAAGGGACTTCAATAAACTTTAATACAATACCACAAAAGTCAAGTTAAGATCAATCTTCTGTCCTGCTTCAATGATGTATATGGTAATAGAGGATGATGGATATTTATCGTCTACTTAAGCCTAGTTGAACTGCTAAACACGAATTTAATTATCTGGAGCTTTAATGTAACTCCGCCTGTAGCTCTTATAGGGTTGCTGCCGGTCCCAAGCCCGGGTAAAGGAGGAGGGTTGGGCATGGGGTTAGCGTCCCCATCCCGTAGAAAACTAACTCGCTAAAAAAACGCTTACCAGAAAAAATAATCCAAACCAT